TTGTCTGCATTGGCAAGTATGAGAAGTTCTGAAGAAAAAGCTGAAGATTTGACATCCACGCCACTGATGTGGCAGTCCAGACCAGCTTTTGTCACTATGGATGCAGTGACAACTAGAGTTTGAATATACTGAGTATATTCTGGGGATGTAACTGTGGGTTTGGCTTCCTTCAAAAGGAATCAATTATGCACACTCTGAGACCCTGGATGGTTAGTGGGAGCCATCAGAGGATTCCCTTCAAAAGTGAGTTGCTGATCCTAACTAGAATACTAATGCAGAGGTACCTCATGCATACCTAGTGTGCTTCATCCCTATTATATTCCTAGGGGTAACCTGGATTAGGTTCTACCTGAAATGCACATAAGTGTATCAAGATCTCAACATTCAGTATCTTTGCTCCACAGATTCCGACACATACCCATTCCTATCAGTCTATACTTGCCAGTATAGTGACAGCCTCCATTTATTTGACTGTGAATTCACCTAGTGATGTGTATACACCACTGGAGAACAGTGTGATGAATCTCAGCCAATAGCCATGAAAAGTTTTAGAAGAAAAGATACTATGTGATGGGTTTCTCCCAGAGATTTCTGATTTCCTTTACAATTTCTGGTTACAGCTCATTGATCTAAAGGATCAAATACTTATTTGTTAATGCTTGAAGTATTTTTAAAAGGGTTATTTTTGTTTTTATAATAAACTTTCTAGGTCTGTTTTATAATCTTCAAAACATTTTAGTGATTTCTATTGTTATCACATTTATAGTGGAATAGTTGGAAATTGCTGTCAAATTTCTGACTAGCATAAATTTCTTCATATAAATATCAAATTTACCTGGAGATACTCTGTTTTGCCTGTAAAGTTTTCTGTCTGGAACTGGAACAAGGAACTGCATTCCTTGATAAATCCTCTTTCTGGACACACCTCATTGAAGCACCGTTTGTACTGGATAAATGGGAATTTTCAGCAGCTGTAGATTTTTTTGAAAGCTGATAGAAGATGTTATTTATAACTCCCTGTAGCAGCTCCTCTTTAATGCATGATAATCTGTTGTGACTTTACAATGAATGCAGCCACATGTGGTCTCTTGCTCTCCTTCAGTAACTGAATATTTTCCAGATGAAGGATATTTTAATCACTAGGCTGCATGTAAATTTCCTGAAGGGTGATAAAAGCATTTCTTTATGTTACCATTATCTTTATAAATTTAAAATTATATTTTCCCATATCTCTTTCTTAGGAACATGAAGCAAGTAAGCCTAGATTTTCTTCCATCCTTCCATGAGATAGGAGTTTACTGTACAGTAGGGAAATAGTAAAGTAGCAGGCATTCTTATAAAGCATTAAATTTTAAAATTTGGAAAAAATTATTTCACGGGATAGAAGAATATCAGTAATTTTCCTGTTTTCCACAGAAGGTGGCAGCATTCTGAAGCACTGATGTCAGTGTGAACTTGCTAGCAAATTGCCGTTGTTGAAAAAACACAAACTTTACAGAAATTTCCTCTCCTTGGAGGTTGTGTTGTATATAAATAGGAATGCTTGGGCATGAATTGTTGAACTGGGGAACCTGGGGAGGGAGGAGAAACTACATTCACATAGGTGGAGTATATAAGATAGATAGTATATAAGATAGATTTAACCCCAAAAGATTTAACCCCTTGGTTAATTTAGCCATGTTTATTTACCACTGCAGTCATACTGCCGGAGTGCCTCTTGTCTGAAGCAACGTGAAAAATTACTTGCTTCTAGGTTATGCCTGTTTTCATGGAATAAATCAGCTGATAATGGATCACTCCACTAAATGCAGAGAATGTCCTGTTGGGCTACAGCTCTGGGAGATGACTGTCACCAGAGAGTGGAAGCTTCTGTTATTTTCTCCACTTCTTTGCCCACTCTCAGCAGTGTTCTCCAGTTCCTTAACCAAGCCAGCCTCCATCTAAACACCTGAGCGACCCCCATAGACATGCAAATGTAACTTCCTGAGCTAGCAAAAAAACAAACAGAACCAGTGGAAAAACTGAGTCATATTCTACCAGAGTGAGAAAGGCCGTATGACTGGAATCAGGATAAGAGAAGACAGGGGAGGAGGAAGCGCAAGCCTTCCCCTTTTGGCATGAGGGAGCTGTTAACATTGACAGCTGCTTGTGAAACCGCAGCCTTAGGGCGGGCTGCATAGTTACAGGATTGAGCTCTTGATCCCAAACTCAATCCCAGCGGTCCTACCGGCACGCAGGTTTTACAGCCCCCTTTGACATGCAAACGCGCTTCCCACCCTGCCCTCCTTTTTATGAGACATCTCATCTGAGCAAGGAAGTGGTGACAAGACAACCAAAAGGCAGGAGCTGCTTAACCTTTCACCGGTAATTAACCTTGCAAGCACCTCTAGAGACTCAATGCCTCAGACAGATGAGGTAAGGCCACACGGGAAGATCATTTAAACCAAATGACTGGTTTTCTAATCACTACATAGACAGAACATTTAAGGAACTGGAAGATCAGCTGAGACAGCACAGGGCTACGATTTTCCTCCTTTCAGCTGATTCAGAAAGTCTCTCTGTCCTAGGAAGAGGGGATAAGTTTATTTTTGCATCTCCAGTAGAAGGAATGAGACAGGAAAATTGGATCCTTAAGAGGAAGAGGTGCTTGCCGATGAAGAACCACTATATGCTTAGCAGATTTTTCCTTTCCTTCTGATGGAATGAAAATTAAACAACAACAACAACCCAAAAAGTGGCCGAGATATTCCACAGCAGATTGGCTACAACAGAGTTACCTGGGGAGACCCAGCATGTATGCTGGAGGTCAGTAGCAAGTTCCCAGGCTGAGTCTCTTGGGCTTCTTTATGCCTTCCTCTTTCTTAGTCATTGCCTTGAGCATTCCAGGGCTCTTTATTAGAAGCTGGAATGCTGGGATGAGAACCCCAATAAGTGGCACAGGTTGAAGTGTGCCCGCGTTTACAGCAGCTCGATGACTCAGGGAACAACTTTTTTTTCCCTCGGGGTAATGATGTACTGAGTTGAAGAGACCCGAGGAGAAGGGAGTACAGGGCTGAAAGTCTTTTTCCTGGCAGGAGTCAGGTAGCTACAGGAGTTGTAGGTGAAAGAGGCAGTTCCCCTCTGGAATTCCTGTGCAGAGGGCACGTGGGACAGCAAGGATTGGAAAATATGTCCTGGCTGCCTGGAGTTAAAGAGCTTTACAGGGCAGTTAATTGAAAAAGTAGGGGGCTGTGTTCAAAATGGGAGGAGTTAGAATTTGAATAGTTGGTTTTCTTTTGGTGTTTTTCTTTTTGCAGGGAAGCAGGGGGAAAAAAAACTGGGCTGGGACTTGTCCACTTTGCTTGCGCCTGGAATGTGACTTGGGGGTTTTTTGTGTTTGTTTGTTTGTTTTTGTTGATGTTGTTGTTTTGTATTTGATTTTTGGGGTTATTTGTTTGTTTTATTGGTTTTATTTTTCCCAGGGGAAGAGAAGAACAGGAATAAAAAGAACTGCAGATAGCTACATCTGGAGGGAAAGCTGGTATAGGCTTACAGAGATTTGGGTCCAGGACAGAAAATCAATATATGTATGAGTGGTACACAGGGATCCAGGCCATTCCAGAAAAAGGAGGCTGTTACCTGAAACATTTGGGAACTGCTGAGATAAAGTAAGTTGTTCCATTCTGTTGATTTGAAGGGCTCAAACAGTTGAGATCTCAGCTGGAAATTGCAGCATGAAGAAAGTAAGGAGAAGCTTCCTGAACCACTTCTGGGGAGTAATTCCTGATTGTGGAGCTCTTTTCCAGTCTCTGTAATGATGAGTCTTAGATCTAGAGTGACTGCACTCTGCAATAGTCAGCATGTTGGTACCTGAAGTGTGACACTCAGTGCCACATTGACCTGCCTGGAGTCACTGCTGCTTTATTGGCATTTTCTTGACACTAGCTCCTGTGGAGTTGTAGACTCCCACAGCCCTTTCTACTAATTATTTTAAATGGTGCTATTAAGTGTCTTGGTTTCTGAAAAAAACATTAATTCTTCTGTTTAGTGTGAAATGTATACAATAGATTAGTTTCTTTGTATTTAAAGAACTATATTTGCCTATTGGAAATTTTCAGGTTTTTAAAGTNTTTTTTTTTTTTTTTTTTTTTTTTTTTTTTTTTTTTTTTTTTTTTTTTTTTTATTACACCTTAAAGTCTTGGTCTTTATGATCTGGTGCTAAGACAGCTGAGGCCATGAATGGCTCTTGGGTCACTGAAGGCCTCACAGAGAAAAAGAACTGTGTTATGCATTGACTCCAAGGGAAAAATGAGAAGATGTGGATGTTCTGATGTTCTGGAGCATGTATGTGATATATTCTGTCTTAGTCAGAAGGGTGGAACTAGATAATCTCTAGAGGACCCCACCAGCTTCAACTTCAGCTACTTTGGAATGAATTCTGAACTAGGAAAAAGTTTTTTTAAGAGGTAGGTGTCTGCAGCCTTTGTGGCTTGGAATTTCATTTTTGTCCTACTCCATCTTTTCAGTAATGAGTACATTGAGAACTAACAACTTTCTCCAGCATTCAGCATTACCTACCCCGGTTGATGCCTGGATACTCAGATCACATGAAAAGCCAATAAAGACCCCGTTAATTCACACTGTTTTGAACAGAGGGCACATTGTGGAGTTCAGCTCCCTTTATAAAAACTGTGTGTTAGGTACAAAGTTACTACACAGCAAAAATGTTTATGGCACTTGCTTCTAGCTTGTGTGTACCCTGTAAGATCTGAGGTGTCTGCATTTTTTGTTTCAGAAAATCTGACTGGGTAAGCTTGAAGATACCTATATTAAAATTTTATTGTTACTATCTTGCACACCATGCTTTTTCCCTGATGGGGTAATAAGGACACTGTACATTGCAGCAGGGGAAGGGAACACCAGCTTTATAGATTTTTGCTTGATGTAGCTTTAAAGATAAATGTCTCATGGAGATCTGTATGGGATCAGACATAAATTAAGACAGTGCAGAGAGACAGAAATTCTAGCAGTAATCACAATACTTTTATTTAAACAGTAAAGTGTTATTTAATGTAAGTGGTTCTATTTTTATTAATACTTTATGCTGAATTTTGAACAGTACTGTACCTAAACAATTTTACAAATATAACACTAAATACATTGTTTATTGCTCTTTTTTGCATGAACATAAAACCTGGAAATGAATACAAGAATAAATAAGGCACCCTACTAATATACTATTTTTCTGTATTGTAGCATGCAAAAAAATTAATTTTGGTCTTGCAAACTTTCCTAATTTTTCTTATTAGAGAAAAAATAAGAGTTTTGGGGAAGTGCCTGTTTGAAAACTCAAGACTTTAAAGCATTTTTCAATTTTCTTAATTCAACCATCCACCTTACAAAACAGCTCTCTTATAGCATGTCCTAATTTCTTTTCCTAAAGACAAAAAGTATTTTTGTTCTTCTTTTGCTGTTACTAGGAAACATGCCTTGCAAGAGGAGTGTTCACGTACTGCTTGAGACAAAAAACCTGAGTTGCTTTTTTTAGCTGCATTTTCTTCTTGTACTGACCCCTCTCAAAAGACAAAAATAAAAATGCAGAGGCATCTTTCCTGACTTCTTGTATGTGGCTAGACCCAAATCAGTGATCAGCAAAAGATGGGAGCTCCACAGATGCTGCTTAAGGGCCTGTTCTAAATTTCAGTATGCCCTAAATTAGGGCTTCCCAACAGTTTCAAAATACATTCTGTCCAACTGTCCTTTCTCCATGCTGGCCAGTGGCTTCAGTGATTTGACAGCCTACTGCCAAAATGGTGACAAATGATCAAATAAACCAGAGGCATGACTCTGACCTCTATCCCAACTTTCTTTAAACAATTTGTTTCATTCTTTTCAGAAATGATTGGAGACAAAAGCTTTGAATTTTTCTTTTTTAATCTAGAGCATATAATAATTTCTTGATTCTCTAATATTTATTCTTTGAAACTGAAATGTTCTTGCAAGGTAATATAAATAGCAGGTTCAATCACCGAGTTTGCTAGTTATATGAAATATGTGTTACTTACTTATGTGATAACACCCAGCTTCACATAAACTCTGAAATGCAAAATGTCTTTTAATTACATAAGTTATTACAGTACTGTTTTAAAGGAATCTTTTGGTTATATGTAAATACTATAAATTAGCTCTTTAAAAAATAACCATGTAAGACAAGTATGGCATTGACATAGTTTAAAAACCAATAAACGGCCCTAAATCTGAATACTCTCAGGGCAGAACAGCAAAAGCAGGTATCAATCTAATGCTGTGGAATAACATGCTGAAATTTCAACTTATTTGAAGACTCAGTACTTTGCTCTAAGGAATGGGCCAACTGGTACTATATGTGACAGGATAATATAAGCTATTTTGAGTGTTGCCATTCCAATAGTAAAAGCCATCTAAATAAAGTTTCCTAAATACATACTGGTTTAAATTAAAATCCTGAGGAATTATAATCTCTCTACTTGATAGTTTTGGTTAAGTGCAATTTGATGTATGCAGAACACTGTTTCATTTAAGGTCATTCTTAGTAAGGCATATTAAAAATAAATATAAAAGTGACAACATAATATTTAGTTTCTTGCTACAAAATCTTAGGCAAAAATATTTTTGCATGTAGTAATAGACTTTATCCATTTGCTGGCTTACAGGAGTTAAAATTTGTGCACTAAGCTTAACTGCCCTTGTCAGAATGTGCCACTGTATTATAACAGTGGTCCAAAGCTATATGCTAAAGATTTTATTTCCATGCTCAAACACAGCTTGCACAAACTGCTTGAAGACTCTGTCCATGTAAGTGCACTTCCTCGGCCATATTCCTTCCAGAAAACCGATATGGCCTCCACACGAAGTCAGAACCAAAGCAACATTTGCATTTTGTTTGGCAGTTTCTACTGGTATAGCTAAAAGAGGGAGAAAAACATTTTAAGTCTTTAACCTTCTATGAAATGCCAGCCATTGAAAAATTTCTCTTAATCATTTCTCATATTATGTACAAATAAATAGTCACAACATTAATATACACTTAAATGTCTTACAGGGTTTAGAACTAGAGCTGTATCAAAAGCCATTTTTCTCTTCATCATTAACTCACCTTACCTGTGTGATTTTTTTTTTTCCCCTGGCTGCTGTAAGAATTCCAGCTTCATCTATCTTTCACTCACACTGATGGAACAGCACCCATATTAATGCATGCTTAGGATTAGCTATAAATAGTTTAAGTAAAAGGACAATCAGCCCTCTAATTTTTAACTGTTATTGCAACGTTCAACTTTAGAAAAGCTGAGGAACTGGGATCTCAATTGCAATTGTATGAGACGCCAAGCACAGAACCTTTAATGTCAGGTTAAGATTTAGTCTGTAAGATATCCCATCAGCTAATATAAAAGATTACCATTATATCTGATCTGTTTACACCTGTATGTTTAAAGCACACCATGCAAATACACTGGGGGATGGTTCTTGCCTTGAGGAGCCCATAATCTAAGACACAAGGTAAGCAGAGAAAGAGAAAGGGGCAAACAACTGTACAAGGACACAGGAAGCTGATCCGTGCCACCCAGGAGATTAGTGGCTCTCTACTGAATAGTGACTGCTAGAAATTATTTTAAAATGTAGATTATTAGACTGGATAATACAAGGATTTTTATTTTGCTGGATTAAGTTCCCTGATCTGATTAGCACCCTAATCCAGTTCCTCATATTAATGACAACATCTGAAAGTGGCAGCCACAGTCAGCTGGAGACTTCAGTGAGGTGGCCATTTCAGCAATGGTCTACAATTAGCCTAAAGTCATCAGTGAATGCCACCTGAGATAGGCAGTGATCTAGAAATGTGTAGGAGGGAGGCTTCAGTGCCTCCTATTTTGACTCTGCATAGATGTGTGGCTTAATCAATTTCACCACCTGGGCAGTTCCCTTTCTGAAGGAAAATAGAGGTCACTTAGCACAGATTGACACCAGAGGAAGCAGCACTTTACAAAGAGTACTTGGTGCAATGGGGTATCATGTGAACTGGTTGACACAGCAGTGGAGACTGTCAAGACTGCAAACACCACAGATCTATAAAAATTAAGTTATTTAAGCAAATTCCTCTGGAGTTTTAGGTATGCTAAGTAGACATCTGAATTAACAGAAATCTCAGCACACTTCAGTAAAGAATGCATTTCAAATTTCCAGTTTTCAAGTAAGAAACTTCATGAAACAGAAAAAATCACAGAGATTTTTGATTATTTAGGATTGACATAAAAAGCAACAGCAAAACAAAAATGCTTTGTCCAAAGAAGGGAGTAGCAGCAGTTTCACTGTGTTGTCTAAAAAAGGTTATGACAAGAAAATAATGCTGATTTTAAGTCATATATTACTCAACTAAAAATGCCTTGTCACTAACACTAAGCAGCAAGTTGTTCACAAGATTTATATTACTTGTTCATTTATTTTAAAGTATTTTTGAATCAGATTCCATTTTGGGCGTATTCAGTTATTCATATCCCTTTCTGACTGCACTTCCTTCAGAGACACTTTCCACTCATTCCTGTTTCTAGGAGTTCATTCCTTTACCCCTTCATACATTTGCTATCTCAAAGGTGATTATCCATGAATAGTCCCTATCTCTGCATATTACTGCCTTCTTCATAGATGTGCTCCTTACTTTCATTGGGATGCTGGCAAACTCATAGCTGTGTGCTTGAAATGCCAGTTTGCCTTCATTTTCAGCAACTGGAGTAAGAGCAGAGTAACCTTTTGCTTAGCCAAAAAAGGACCCTCAGCCAAAGTAAGTCACAGGAGAACTTGAGTGCAATGACTGTGGTGAACAGCTGTGCAACTTAAAATAGATCAGGGCAGAAGCACTGGACCCGTGGAGCCAGGGGAGCAGTCTGTGCCTCAGAGGTCCCTACCAGCAGTGCCTGGAACGACACGCTCTGTTCCACTCCAGGGCCTCAGCATGGATGCAAAACCACCTGCCTGCAGAGCTGGGTTAGTGTCTGTTGTGAAGGTGTGTTACAAGCTCCCTGCATGTAACAAAGTACCTGACCATACCCTGGGGGAGCATGGACTGAGCTCCAGAGAGCAATGGGGGCTCTCTTGCCAAATATGCGAGGTTCTTTGCTACTCAGTGCTATCCATTTTTTCCACTCTTTCCCTCCTTTCAAAACTGCAGGCATCTAAGTAGTTTGTAGAGTCCAGCATTTACCAAGTGATTTTGATTCTTTACTAGGAGGAAGAAACTGTGCTTCTTACTGTTTCTACAAGAAGTTATTTTCCTTTGTTCAGTTGGAAAACTGAAAATACTGTATGCAGGATCTGGCCCTTTTAAAGAAGTACTGAGGCTAGACTAAAAAGTCAATAATGTAAAAAATCCTAGACTGGGGAATAGCACATGCTGAGAACATGAGATGCAGAAAACAATGTGTTATTTCTTGCAATCCAACACATGCATCATTTTTAGACTCAGCACGCACTTGTCTGGAGTTTTGCCTGAGTTAATCTGCTCAGCAATCTCTGATCTGCCTCTCTTGGATTCTGTGGAGGAACACACTGCCATGTACAAAGAGAGTGGCTGCAATTCAGGTCACCTTCTGCTGACTGCATAGGAATTTGCCCACTTATCTGTACCAAGTCATCTGCTCTTCTTCACTCCAATAGTCTGTGGTCCATGTTAAACAGAATCCCAAGAGAGAATTGGGGATCAGACAAACCCAATGCCTGCTTCAGGCAATGAATCACACTTTCCACATCCATTCTGCAGTTGTCTGCCTGGTCACTGAGGGGACTAATAAATTGCATAGGGCTTCTGTGCAAGGGTATGAGAAGGAATATGTGAGGAGAGACAGATTTGACCTCCAAGTATCAGAGACAGGCATGAGAACCCCATCAGTCCTAAAGGATTCAGGATCAGCTGCTAACTGGCCTGAACATACCTCTTCACTCACTAAAACGGGCACAAACATGACAGTCATTCAATTTAGCAGACTAGTGTCAATGTGAAGGGAGAATGTCCCTTCCTGATAAGAAACTGCTTTGTGGAGGGATTAAAAGGGAGATCATAATAAATGTCTCCTCTACTGTGCCAACCCAGCTGGGGAAGTCCTTACAGGCCACCAATCTCACCATGACCTCTGCATGCCTGTCATTCAGAGGTTGCCAGTGTAATCACAGCTCCCAAATCAGTTTGCTGGTGGTCATTCATTCCCAAACTGGTTGTCAACACTGTAGTGGGTACCACATGCTGCCTGCTTCCACACAGCTACAGTGGCTCTTTCCTGGAAACCTACCAGTCCTGCATTAGGATGCTGATTATTTTCCATGCCTGATAAGATGCAAGCTACATACAGGTCTTTACAAATGTCATCTTCCCCATCCTGAAATTCCCTCTATTTGTCCATGTAACTCCTCCCCAGCAGAGTTTCTTGCTCTGGAGGCTCTCAGAAGAGAATTGAGTATATTGTGTTGCTCCTCAGTGCCAAAATGCAAATGATGCTTGGCAGTGGTGTGGTACTTTTCTGAAGGCTGTTCCTAGGGACTGTGAGCCATCCAATAAATACAACCACAACAAAACAGAGTAAATTTTGCAATGTAAAAGGCAGATGAATGGAGCACTGGATGTATGCATTCTAGGAGATAGGACTGCATGCCAAAAGATACCACTGTTCATTTTTGTCCACACGTAACCTTGTACTTAAGTTTCTTTTGGCCAAAAATCTGTCCTACTGTTTGATCCATCAAGCACCTGATTTGTAATCACAGAACCACAATGTGAATACTTATATGCAGAATTACTTCATTCAAAACCAATTTGTTATACATTCTTTGCCAAAAAAGAAGTTATTATTTTCTTAAAGAACAAAAGAAACAACATATAAGTCCCTGCTGTCAGATATTCAATTTTTTGCTTGACTTCACTCTGCTCCTTAAACTTTCAACCTAATTATTATCTGTCTGGCCATTTCTTGGCCATTTGGTCTCTTCTGACAAGTTCATTCAACTGTGCTCTATTGTAAAATGCAGGCGAACCCAGTGGGAAGAAATGATGATGTCTGATCTAATTCAGAAGGCTGAATGATTTCTTTATTATAACTATGCTATAATACATTAATATACTATATACTCACTACCAACTTGTGACCCTGTTTGCAACAGTCCAGACACAGGTGAATCTGATTGGTCATCAGGCTCAAACAATCTTCACCAGAATCCAATCAATTCTCTAAACAATTCTCTAAACACATTCCACATGAGAAAAACAAGGAGCAGAAAGAGAAATTGTTTTCTCTTTCTTCTCTCTGTGTACCTCTATGAAAAATGCTGAGAGAGAAAGAAATGTGCTTACCACAGTGCTCTTTTACGTAACAGGATATACACTAACACCTAAAACAATTCAAGTTGGAATTCAGGGGGAACAAAAGCTTCAGAGGATTCAATAAAATATATATAACTGAGCTTCAGACATGCACTTATTTGTCACAGTGGATCAGGAGGGAGCTGGCATGGTACCTAGCTCCAAGGGCAGGCTTCCAGCTTGGGCACAATGCTCATCAGCAGCAATTAGCTAAGCATTAGTATAGTGAAATTCAAGTCAGATGCCTAATACACTGCTTAAAGTCTCTTCAGAGAAAAATGCCACTTCAGATGAAAAGGTAAATGTGACAGTGTTAATGAATGCTATCACACCATCTTCCTGATTTATTTTTCACATTTACAAAATACAAGGGCTTGACTTGGCTTTATTACATATTTCCTGAAGGATGGTTTGTGTAAATTAGTTATGGTGAGAGAAGTGTCATGCAATGAAGAAAGCATTTGTTTTCATTAGTCAGTATTATGCAATAAGAGAATTGCATTCCAGAATTAAATTACAGATATATCAGCTGCCAAGCTCTGTGAACTTTAAACAGCAACATTAAGGAAGGACTGCAAATTGATTGCTTCTTCCTAATACTGGATTGAGATCAAATGGCACATTTTCACAATATATTTAAAAATTAACTGCTGGGAAGTACAAAGTTTACCAAAAAGCACATCAGAAGAAATCATCAGGTAGTAACAGGCAACTGAGGCAGCATCTGTACTTTTTAAGGGAACTGTCTATTTAGGTACACGTTATGTAGTGACAAAGCAGACTTGGGTTTGTATCCCTCAAGCTCTGTTACTGGAAGATAGATGTGCCTGGTTTCATGGAAACTATTTAAATACAAAGCAATTCTGGCACAGTGTTCTCCCTGATGAGTTTTCTAGGCTGGTTTCCCAGCTCTTGGAAACTACAGATATCTACAACAGAACTGGAAGGTAGCTTAAAAGCTGGTAGGTATTACTGGGAGAAATGAGGCATGAAATAACCAGTCTCCAAAGTCAACAAAAAACTAGGGTTTGGATGAGTATGAATTTTGTGGCCTTGAATCCATGAAACAGCTGTGAGTGGAAACTGCCTTTGGCTGCTACAGGCTTCTGTCTGTCCACACATAGAAGTTTCTAAGTTAGAAAAAAAAAGCCAGTTGCCAGAATAAAGTCCCCTCCAAGAGTAACACCAGCCCTTCATGTCTGCTAACATAAAACAGCTCAGAGAAGATGTCAAGATGAACGAACTCCAGTAACTAATGGCAGAAGACATAAATACCATAAATCCCAGTTGGGGTGTTCTGTCACCTGCCAGCACAATGATTCTCACTGAGGGTACACAGCACAAACAAAAAAGGAGCTAAGGATAGACAGATATAACAGAGTCATGCTATTAGTAGGAAATCAGCATTGTCCTGGCGGCCCTTTCTGAGGTAAACCTGTCTCCACAAGTACAAGGGTTTACAGCTAACAGCATTAACTCTGTGAACAAGGAATAAACAAATGCCTAACAACCCAAATATTTCATGGAGAAAGGTTGGTTGCCATCAGAGTTTTAAGAGAAGATGGACAGGCATTACAATAGACTCTTATCACTTCTTGTTGCAGAACTACTGGTGTTCTACCTTGCCCCCCTCCACACTTCAAGACTTCTAAGGCATCCTCACAATAGTTTAGATATCTCATTTTACAAAAACAACCATTCCACTGTTCACCAAGAATTGTGTTACTTTTACAAAAGAACTTCAAGGATTGAGAGATCTACTACAGCTGTACTCTAAGGGGATTCAATCTTTGAGTACTCAAACTACATATCACAGAACTGCTGAGGATGTAAGAGACCTCTTGAGATCATCTAGTCCAAACCCCTGCTCAAGCAGGGTTACCAACAACAGGTCTTCCATAACTGTGTCCAGTAAGGTTGTGAGTATCTCAATAGATAGAGACCACACAAACTATGCCAGCATTTGACCACTCTCACAGTCAAAAAAAAAAAAAAGTGTTTTCTAGTGTTCAGATTGAATGTCATAGGGTCAGATCAATAGCTGGCTTTTGAGAGCTGGAGATAAAAAGGGGATGGAGTATCTACACTAATTTTCATTTAGGTGACAAATGTCCCGGTCCCAGTCAAAATGGGCTGGGAAAGGTGAAGAAATCTTTCAGGGACTGAGGCACACAGCTGGTTTACTGCTGTTGTCACTAGGCTAACTAGGTAGACTCTGCCACAGTTGTGTCCACTTAACTTTAGACAGAAATCACAAACTAAGCTAGTGCTAAATACAGAGGTGAAGTCATTGTTCCTTCTCTCAGCTACTCTGTGAAATGAAGAAGGCACAGCAGATGAAGTCCCTGCAGTACTATGGGGAAAGTCATCTCCAGGGTCCTAAGACCTATAAAAATTATCTTCAGAATCACTAGCCAGATTTTATATTTGGACATAGATTTTAGGGTCACAGCCCATCCATTCTCATTTTCAGGCCATTATAAGCTTACAAGAGAACAAGCAGCTATCTGATTTCAAGGAAAAAAAAATCCCATAGAGTAAATAAATACAAAGGGACTAACTGTTTCAGAAAGCCTTTGAACTGCAAAATTTTAAAAGTGCTTACAGTATTCTACTATAATATTGCTATATTTACCAAGATCTTACTTTTTTTTATGCCTCTGTTTTAGCCAATATAAGGGATAGGTAGTTTGGCTAATCTAGAGTCACCATTTTTCCCCCTCATATTAGGTGTCTGTCACCTCTTTACATTGCTCATGCAAAGCACGGATGCTTTTTGTTCTAGAGAAGAATAAATCTGACATTTTCTAGTGCAATCTACTGGAGTGGCCCTTTTCATGTCTCTAACATGTCTTCAAACTATAAATAGTAACATGTGTGCATGTTTCTGCATACAGATAAACAGTACACACAAAGAGACTCTTCCAATTCTTTCATTTCTGCTTGTTGTTCTGATCTATTTGCCTGCTCACTTTGGTTTCATGACTCATTCTGCAACAATCTCACTTCACTTGTGGTGGCAGAAGAAAACTTCCCTGAAATAAATCAGCTATATAAACTACATTTTTAAAGGTGTCAGGTGCTCATTGCTGAAGTCTGTTGCCTCAAACAGCTGTTCATTTTAGTGGCTTGCTTCTACATTAGCTTTTGTTCTCCTTCTCTTCTCAGAAGCCATAACCAATACACAGACCACAGGAACAAGCATATGTTTTCAGAGTAGTTAGCAACAGGGTTTTGATCTTCAGAGGAAAAGAAAAATGTTCATTATGATCACATGTTTGGCATGAAACAGAAAGAAAATGGAAAATGGAGTTTTCAGCCTGTTACTTAGCTGATACTGATGGTTCTTATTAATTTCAACGTGCCTCCTTCTAGTAGCTCACCTTGTACATTGTGTGTATCTTTTCCCTTACCCTAGATTTTGGCCTATATGATTAGATGCAACTAATATAACTTAGTTGGGTTTTTTAACTTTTAATTTACAGGTATGGGAGGTGACACTGAGATCAACAGATGAGGATTTCATGTCATCTCAGACATAAGCAACTCCCACACATTCTAGGAACTCAAAGAATCGCAATAAAATAACCCACTTGTTTGCAGTTTGAATTCCGAATGTCTACATCCAGACAGAATGACATCAGAATACAAGTTCCTTTTTTTATGGGTTCTCTTCATACTTGGTGAACAGAAGCAGATGCTTCTGAGAGGGCACTACATATGGTATCTTCCTTACAGTGAGATAACTCATACCCTAAATGTGCCTATTTCTTTCTTTTGACTGTAAAAACTCCACTAATGCCTAATGAGGCCATATACTTGTGCATTCTGTACTAATCAAGTCTCTCCATCATCATCTGTTTCACGTGTGTCTTAACTGCAAGACTGAGTTAAATCTTGTTGGGGCTCAGTTGCCAAGGTGGTTGCTCTTCTCCTTGTACTCACATGAGCTCAGTTGCTAGACTAGTCTTGCAGTAGGTGGAAGAGAGTAGGAGAGGTCAGGCCTCCCATCTGCTTCTTTAAGCAGCCTGGACAGCCCCCAGGGCTTCGGCCTGGAGTGACCAGGGTCAGCAAAGAGGCAAGGCAGCAAGGCACTGCCATCCTTATCTCGTGTGTGCTGTCACTGCGCCCCTATGGAAAACCATGGAAGTTTTGATCCTACAAGCAAGTAACATTTAAATACACTTCTACACATAGGTCTGAGTTTATTCTCAAACCTAGCTTTTCTTAATGATTGCATATACAGATAAATATATTTTAAAAAGCCTAAACTTACCATGACCTGGTGAGAAAACATCATCCACAGAGTTTAGACATAACACTGGAATTCCTACTGACTTCAGCTTGCGACATGGGCTAGCATCTTCATAGTAATCATCAATTGAACGGTAGCCAAACATGACTGAAGTGAACTGCTTATCAAATTCTCTAATAGTTCTAGCCTGAAGTACAGAATTCAAATAGGGAACTATGTCAGCATTTGGAAAACAGCATCCAGCTCAAGCAGAAGTAACATTTTCACATACCTTCATCACAAGATCCATATCAAATAATTTCTCCAATATTTGTCGATGCCTAAAAAGAAGAATACAAAAATCGGAGGGCTTGTATATTTGTTGTATAAACAAACACAGAATTTCTCTGCTTTACAGAATCATTTCTAGAAGTAACTGTCTAACATGCTTGTTTTTAATTTTCTGTCATATCAAAAACCTGTCTGGAATCCAAGAGCAGAATGATTGTTCATACATATGTAAGCACATCCAGCAACATAGTAAACATCTCCATAAGCCATGAGAAAGATGCCAAAGAGAACTTAATATTTGAGAATACAAAATACACTCTGCTTTTATAAAGCCCATGATGAACTAGGCCTCTCTGTGCTTTTGCAGCCAACACAAACTTAAAAAATTATTATATTTGCAAATCTACTCAAAGTCAATATGTGCAAGTCTAAAAATTTTAAAAATCCATTTACCTCATCTATAGATACAGAAGTAAATTGGGCTTGTTGCAAGTCCCTTGAGCAGCATATAAATTTAGTCACATTGATGACAAACTTTCGTGAAAAGATCTTTTTGATTTCAAAGCTTACCAAATAATGCACAAAGAACAACAAGAGTTGTTACAGCATTAATTTTGCCAATATTTTTATACCTGCTGTCGATCTCATGTTAAAATCTTTCCACCTTGCTAAATAGTTCAGAAGGCAACTCACCTGCTGATAGAGGATTGTAGACAAGTGGTCAAGTAATAGTTGAAAAGAAGCCAGTTTAGTGGCTTCTCCAGAGATTCTATAGATTCAAAAACATTCCAACCCGCAGAGAAAATTGCAGCTGCCATTAAAGGAGTGTCTCTGCCAGTTTTTCCCAGATAATTTAAAAGAAGCATGCTACAAATGAAAAACAGAAAACAGAAACATACATACTATCAAATTGTTTGCTTCAATTAAGAGTAAATGCAACAGCCATGTTTTTGTCTGGTTTTCAATAGTTTCTTGTATGAGTCCTACAGTTGTGCCTAGTACACCTAGCAGGTAGTCACCTAATCAACATATGACTCATGAAGTTTTTCTCTACTATCAGAGAGGAACAGGGTGTGTAGGATGTGAGTAGGAGTGCATGAATTAGTCTTACTTAAATCACCAAAGGGAGGGAAAAGTCAAATGATTCTTACTCATGGAACAAGTATTCCCATGCATTAGTAACTTTTACCATCTTACAAGTTCCTGGTCTTCCTGATGTGACAACTCTGATCAGTGTGCCTGACAAACACAAGCTGCCCCTGACACACCTGCCTCACCAAGAAGAATTTTTTGAGATTAAGGTAGTGCCATTACCTCACCTCATACATATGAAAGAACATAGCTCCTCTTTAACACAAAGTATGTGAAATCTTGGATAATGAAAAAAACTAGAGAAACAAAATTATGACCGAAATAAATGGCTCAGGTTTTGTCTTTCTGACCAGTTGCAACTTACAGTCTCTACTGCTAATGTACACTTGAGCTGGAAATGGGGGGAATTCACAAGTATCTACTCTTCAAATGTAGAAAAAATAAAACAGCAGGAAAAGAGAAAAACAAAAATACTAGTGGAAAAGCTCTAGGTCTTACTTTACTGCCTGAGACCATAAAGTTTACAACAAGCATTTTAATACAAAATCTTCAACACAAACCACTACAGTTATTAGTAACATTAAGATAGCTCCCTGAATTGCCACATTCGGTACCTTGTCTCATCTGCTGTACTTCAGGAGACAGAAACCTTTAGCAAAGACATTATGAACCAGCCTTCCATCACAGAGACTTTATCCCTCTACACTACCTTCCACATCATAGGACAGCAGTCCAATAAACCAACAAAAAAAAAGTTGCAGTAGCAGAAGAAGCACTTCTCTAACAGAATTCACAGAGAATATGTAGTAGAGAGGTGGTCTAGGAATCTTTATGCTACAAAATGAAGTCCCTTTTCACAATAATACCTAGAGAAGATAGTAGAACAGGTGGTCTTTCATTTACATTTATATATGTCTGTGAAGTGTATTTTAATTCTAAACTGGGGCAGATCTGTCTTATATAGATGATCTGACTATTCAGAAAATTCTGAAAAGCAGTAGATGATAAAAATTCCTGTAAGTTTAAGACAAGTAGATGATTTTTGCAGTATGTCCCTGATGAGATTTTTGCTCCTGCTTAATTTTAAACATTCAATGCTCCAATTAATTTTGAAGCAAGGAAACCATTTTAATGCAGACAATTATTAACTGTTCTAGTGTTCTGTACAATTAAGCATATGCTTTCTGGTTGTGGTTCAGGATTTTAAAAGCATATTGGAGGGGGTAGGTGGAACACCTTGCCTAAAATTGCCCAGTGGTGCTGGTTACATATAAGCCAAGTATACAACATAGATTCCCATTGTAACAAGACTTTGTCAGTACTTTGGATAAGCCAAGGACAGAAATGACACCAAGGGCTAATGTGCCCTTTTTTACCAGTCTCAGAACTGCCAGCTTCTACCACACCTTCAACCCTTCATAACTGCCAGGCACAGGGAATTGTAGCCATCCCAGCATCAGCTGCCACAGCAAGGCACAAGCAGACCAGATTTCTGGAGAGTGTAGAGGACAAAATTTTGATATACCAGATCTAGATAGGAAAAATATTATTTGGATCTGCTATTCATATGTAAGGAAGAACTAGTCAGGTAGAGAAGATGTAGAACAGTCTTGGCCACTGAGATGATAGTGGATTTTTAAGATGAGAAGTCAGTGGGTAAGGTAAGCAGCAGAATTACAATACTGGAAGAGAGCTGGCTTTCATTTACCCGGGTATCTGGTTGGCATTAGATGGCTGTGATGAGCAAAGAGGACTTTAAGGATAACCAAACATAAAGCAGAAGTTGATACATTCTGATATGCAGGAAGTTGAGCAAGAGAAGCAGAAAACCACATGGAGGGAAAAAAAAGCCTTCTGACCAATTTCAAGGAGTAAGTATCCTTAAGGTGGAAGACAGGTGATCTACCTGGGAAAACAGTCATTGCCCAAGCATGCAGGGATGCAGTCAGGAAAACTGAAGTTCAGCTGGAGCTGAAACAAGCAAGGGATGTGGAAGACAACAAGGGAAAGGTTTCTGCAGCAAGAACAGCTTCTCTAAATCTTTTGGTACAAAAGACAACTCAGAACAAACAACATTCTCTTCTTTCTCCTCATTAGTGAAGCGAATCATCTCTTCATGGAATGCAATCAGATCACCTGGGCATGTTTTTTCCTTGATGAAAACAGTCACCATTATTCCCCATATGCCTGGATATGGCTCCCAGAGGATATTCCCAAAGAATGGAAGTTAGGCTTACTAGCCTTTTACCTCCTGGGACCACTATTCAGAACAGGGAACCTAGTGACTAAAGATTTGCAAAAAAGCAAAAATACCAGTCTTGAGCAAATATGTATTTATCTCAAAGCTCCTACATGTCATTGATAGATTAATGGCAACATATAGTAAAATATATAATATCAGTATATATGGGTTGTATCTGCCTATCTCCCACAAAATTTATCAGAGAAAAGGGAAGTAACAGGAAGTTACTACTGTGTCTGCAGGATTCCTAAGGAAAATTCTCCTCTGCTACAGTTTTTGTTAAAGAAGCTGCTGGAATATTTCTGCTAGCTTCTAGCAGTGATTTTTTATTTTTTTTCTAAGAAACTGTGCTATCATTGTCTGCTCTCACTGTGCTTTCTGGAGAGAAGCCAGGACACAGCAAGTCTTAATACCACATGCTCTACCAATCCATATCGGTTTGAACAACAATACTACTTCTTGCTTCTGAGCCAAACAAAACAGATATCCACACCTCTTCCAGCCTAACCTACCCATACACTGCAGAACACAGAGTGAAGACAAAGTTTATTACCAGAGGCTGCTATGAAACATGGTGTATTAGCTCAAGATCCAATTTTATATCCGCCTATTCTGAAGACAGCCTCAATAGTTTCTGAAGACTGCATTGCTAACTGTATGGCTGTCAAGCTGCCTGTCACTGTTTCCTGTCTTTCTCTATCCCACTCCCCCCAGTTTTTAAAAGTTAGCCAAAACCTTCCCTGATACAGATGTAAAAGTCTCAAAAATACAAAGTTTCTAAAAGTCTTCTGCATATTAACTGTTGGAGAGAAACCCAACTTGCTTGCAGGTCAGTAAGCAATTCAGGTATTCCAGAGTAATAATTTACAATCTGGCTACACCAGTCTTACGATGACAGTTAGCTGAAACTTGTGTTACACCACCTTACCCTCCCATAGAAACACCTGCTGCCATAAATGGAGCTGAAGGGTGCAAGCTGTGCACATGATGAATAACAGTCTCTAAATCCTCTGTGTTAGCTGCACAGTAAGTCCTTGGTGTCTGTAAGGAGTCAAGAAGGAAAAAAATGCCATCATAAGCTTTTGTATTATCCTTTAAGGACAAAGCAAACTGAACAGCGAATCATTATATAAGAAGATAAATTTAGCATTTATTGTGAAGCTTCACTAAATGGCAAATAGAAATCCAGAACGTTTCACAAGAAGGTGAAGGAAGGAGTTATGCTTGTTATCATTACAAAATAAAAGCGGTGACAGGTATCTTCAGTATCTGCAACCTTGAGGTCATTAGACAAAATCTGAACAGAGAACAATGTGCTAAACTAGACAGAACTAGATCAGAACTAGATAGACACTGATATTTTTAAAATACCCCAAGGAAATGGAAACATTATAAATGCTGTGGTTTACAGAAAAGAAAGTCGTAACAACAATTTTATTATATTCACCCACATTCAAATGCAAAAGAGAGCATTAGATTTCAAGTTCTGTCAGCCAGCATTTGAAAACTAACCCACATTTAGATTCTACATACAATACAACCAAATAAACAGATAAATTCCCCAGTGTAGTTTACCTAATTTAGTACATTATTCTATTAACTTAAGCAATGATACAGATATTATCAGTTCTTTATCCATCATTAGTGTCTCTTTAAATCCTGAATCGAGACTTGGAATAACTTCTGCTGGCATCAGGTCGGGTAACCCCTTGGGTAAGATTTGGTTAACCACTTCCCTGCTACTGAAGGATAAGCACAACTTTTGAGCCTCCCCTGCACAGACACCTGGAGCAGTCCAACCTGAGGGACTACCTGGAGCAGTATGAGGGAGACAAGTCTATTTAGGCACTGTTAGAATCACAGCAACATGAGTTTCTTTCTAATGGTGTTATCCAGATCTCATCTACAGAGAAATAAAGTTTTTAACTATAGAGCTGCTACGAACATGTTAGTGACCTGGACTTAACTATAGGTACTGACTGAAACTGCCAAAATTCAGTGATACATTAAAACTAAATATAAAAATACATAACTATGAGTTAATGGAAATTTTATGCTGCCTGAAGCAACAATGGATTTCAAGGGTGTTTTTTTAAATTGCTTTCAGTTAAACTACCTGGCTATTTGTGGGTGATTTTAACAACATTAAACTAATTACTTTGAACACATTTAACAAGAATATTGAAATGCTGACGTCAAAGATGAGGAAATGGAAAGAAAAGCTAAATCTAGATAATTAAAACTGAAGACATTTTTAATTTCCATTTATGTTGCATTTCCATTTCTCATCCACATTAATCATTCTTCACTGTTTTACATCCTATTAATTATAAACAGTGTGAATGTGTTTTATTTTAATTAAAGTCAACCTTACAAGGAAAAATAAATTATTTTTGATAACTAGGATCTAATGCATTCTAAATGAAAGTGTATTTGATTAAAGTTTATAAAACTGAAGATATATCACCCATTTTAAATTCAGTTAATTCCAGACAGTTTAATGTTTAGCTATCTACAATTTGTACGAAGATATTTTAAAATACCATCTTAACTCCCAGTGGCTATGATCAAAATAATATTTGATTATTCCAGAGCAGTAATTTACAGTACCTTTCAATAATCAATGAGTATAGTATTTTTTAAGTAATTATTATTTGTTGCAAATTTGAATCTATCTTTAAAGTGACTAGAAAAACAGCTGCTTACATAACTAATTTCTACTGTGGTGCTTAACTATGCTTCAGACTCATTAAGTAGGGATTTTATACTCAAATGTTAAAACTTTTTTACAGAAAATGTGATAATTTCAGCTGGTTTCCTGCACCACAAGAACTTATACAGCTTAAAGATGTAAATCCGATTACAGTAAAATACACACAATGTATCCAAACAAGGGATCTTTTCTCTAAATGATTCAGAAATTCATCAATAAGGACTTTGTGTGTAATAAAACTTCTTTGTAGATCCATCTCCAAAAGTATGCAGAAAACTACTATTAACATGGCAATATTTGCATTGAAATGGTTTATCTGATTATGGAAAAACATTCTGTGCTTTTTAAAGTTTGAAACCAGGGGATTAAATAAATGCTAAACAATACCGAGTATTATGCACATTCATTCCAGCTGCAGAATTGTCAACAGAATGCATATGAAAAAACAAAGCTTATTCAGCAATATTTCAACATGACTTGTCCCTAGCTTCAGAAAACATTTAGCTTCAAGATTTTTCTCATCTGAGGAATGGCCAGTTATTTCTAAGCAAACATGATACGTCTGTCCCAAAAAAATTGTCCTCTGTAGCTGAGTTTTTGTCATGATTGCTGAGAAAAATGTGAGAACGCATTAGCTTTCAGGATGCAGATATCCATGTAAAGCTGGCTCATTAATTTACTAACATGTAATATGGATCAATTTTAATGGTACACCTCTTTAACCATATCAAAAATATAGTTTAAACTGGGAAAGAAATTACAGTGGATTATATTTGGATATATATGTTAAATCAATCGGAGAAAATTGCAACGATTGAGCAGAGATGTACACATTTCAGATACTACTCCATTTTTGGAAAGAAAATGAAAGGATTGCTCATTTTAGTGTTACAGATATTATTAATTGAATAATTGCTTAAAATGAATGTTCAGAAAAAATTGTGTTGGTCAGCTGACTCTCTAGGGTTTCAAAATAAAAAATTAATATTGGCACATGATTGATCTACCAGACGGCTGAATTCTCTTCTCTGCATTTTCAGCCTATGCTCTGAGTTTCTCTCATTTAAATCCAACTGTACAAATAGGCACAAATGGTTTCATAATTACCACTTATAAGTGAGAGATGCTTATCTTAGAAGTCATCCTTACCAAAAGCTCCTCGCCAGCAATTCCCCGATTGTTAAAAACCACGCATCTAAAAATTGAGACAGTAAATTCAATTGTGCACATTGTTAATTTCACCAAAAGAGACAACTTTAAGCACACAAAAAAATGAAAATGCATAAAGAAAAATAAGCCACTTCTATGAATAAGTTCAGCACATAAATATTTACAGACCTACAGATCCTAGAGGCTGACCTGTGTGGAACAAGCTTTGCACCAAAATGGAGTTCGCTGAGGTCAGTGGGACTATCAGAGCTCTGCGATTTGTCGAGGTCAGATTGCAGGGTGAAAACCCCAAGGATTAGCTGAAGGTGGTACAGCCATGTCCTGCCTGCCCTCTGCAATGAGCTCTGACAGTGCAGGGCCCAGCCTAAAGCTGTGCTCTGAAAAAGGAACATCAGAGATCTGTGTGTAGACATCCCCCAAAGCTACATAATTCTATTAAATTGGAAGAAATGATCCAAGTCAAAATGATAATGACAGCTGGATCTAAGTTGCAGGTTCTTGGGAATGTGGGGGTTTTTTTTCCCTCCGGTACAGCAGAAGTTTCTGGTCTGTTTCTGTTGGTGGGAGTATCTGCATCTTCTAGCAGTATTACCATGATTTAAGAATCCATACTTTCTCAAGAAATATTACTTTTCTATTGCTCTTCTACCATCTCACTGAAATAATTTTATTAAATAATATAAATAGTTAGATGGGTTAAATAATATTTATTTTGACGGTTTTATCAAATGTTGCTATTTAAACACAAAATTATAGCATTCTCTTGAAATCTGACCTAGAGCTCCACTTTTTAATGTTCTACCTTCTTCCCTTAGGAGATGAAATGCAGATATAACTTCCAGTTTAAAAATTAATAGTAACAAGTTGTTGATTTCAGGGCTTTCCTCTGATATTTTTTACTGCTAAGTTTTAAGGTGATTTAGAAAGTACTTTGAACAGTTAAAGTGTTGCTTTGCTTTCATAATTTAGTAAAGTAGTTCTCCAAATAGAGAAGAGATAGCTAAACAAGTAGATAAAAGCTAATATATACATATTCAAAGAACTTACTGGAGTCAGCACCAGAAGCCAATCTGCAAAGACAAAATCTAATATTCTAAAAACAGATCCTGGAACAATGACAACTTATTTTAATGTTCAGCAGCAGCAATATGGTTACATAAAGGAGTCTACTCATCGACTAATCCACTTATGTTACCCAAATCTGACCAGGAGCCTTAAGAAAGAAACTGAATTACACAGTGACAATGAAGAGGTGACAGACCCCCTCAAATGCCATCAGTAAGTGTAGGCTAGCTCTCCTTTCTGCACCCAGGAATTTGAAGCTGCTGAATCAAGCAATCTTGGCATTCAGAAGCTGACCTCCTCCAAGGCCTACTGCCAGCAACCATCCACACAAGTTTTCTTGGAGCTGAATACAAACTCTTCCTCTAGAAAGTGTAAAGGTTAACACCTCACATAACAACTTAAGAACCAGCAGCAAAGCCCTATGCAGATTTAGCTGGCGTTCACTGCAATCTCTGGGGCACACCTGTAGATATTAAAACAGCCCTTCAAAATGTACTGCCCGTTATATAATTCCACTTGATTATTATTACTTATAATACTTTCTTACATAAACTACTGTATTCAGATCTCATTTGCCTTAGGAAAGCATCCGATACATACACATGCTGATATTGGATCCTACCAGAAGCAGCAAAATAAATAGCAATGAAAAACAACAGTACCTATATCCCAGTGTTTCGCTTTGATGGATCATATGAAGAATGTAGGATTCCTTGCTTGTTCCTGTCAGGCCAGGCAATAACAGGACAGTGGGTCTTGTGTGGGCATCTGGATAATATGAGCTGTCATTATTATCAAACCAATCCAACGAAATCTGTCCTCCATCTGCTGTTTTAATGAGCTCACTGAAAGGTACATTTTAAGACAACACTGATTAGATTGAAAAATACATATATGCTATTAAGAGTGCTTGCAGTTTACAAATTAAGAGGTATGAATTCTGCATTTTTCATTATGTTTTAATACTCAAAGTGCCCCCTGACTAGAAATGTCTGCATTCAGAAAGAGTTACATGTACAGCTGACAAGAGTTAGAACAGTCAATTTGCAGAGTAATTCCCGTCCAGTAAATGAAGACAGTAAATGAAGACATGGCCTTTCATAAATTGCTGCTGATGTACTGGAAGCTTGTAACTAATGTGATTTTTGGCACTGCCTTGTGTTTTATAAAGGCATTTTTGTGTACTACAGAGTTCCTTTGAATCATCTGAGAATCTTTTGATAGCACACTGGGTAATGTGATAAACATCTATAACTTTTTTTTCCCCCCCTCTTCATCCAAAGAAGTAGAATGTATAATGGATTGTTATGTTTTAAGCATGCAGAACACAGACACACAAGACTGTATCTTTCACCCCGTATCACTACAGATTGTGCTAGAATGTACTCTTACACCATTTATCTTAATAATGCAACAAATATTGTAATATCTCAGGAAGATATGCATACATTAAACAATGACAAAAAAGTTTCATTGTTTTTTATAGAAACATACAAATCTTCCCACTTCCTGGAAATTTGAAAATGCTACTTTATTTTTGTAATTTAGAAAAGTAGTTATCCAAATGGAAAAGAGATAGCCAAGCATGCAGGTAAAAGCTAATATATACATATTTGAATGGTTTGAGGGAGTTGGTGTGGAAACTGCTGAAGTGTAAGCCTACCTTGCATTTTATTTTTCTTTTGAAATTCTTGGTAGTTACTACTGCAGATTTTAAAGGTGACCAGCCTTGTCGGACTCATTTGCTCAGCTTTGCCCTTTTTCAGTAATGGGAAGTAGATGCACTGCTAGTGAGTACTGCCAACACAATCCAAAATGGTGCAAAATAAGCACTGCTCCATGGAACTATGTTTCTTTTCTCAAAACCCTTGAAATAAAAGTGTACAAGAAGGACTAGAAGAAGTGGACATGGTCATACCACTGAAATGTTTCCTAGTTACTAAAGCTAAGGGAAGCTGCTAAATGCTAAATCTATTCTACAGTGCAAGCAGAGCTGAAACAACTTGTGTTGCATCCAGGTTCCGGTGCATAAAAGTCCTTCTCCTTAGGTCTTGTGCCAAATGCTTCATTTGCCAGACTAAGTCTCATTTCTGTGTGAAAGAGATTAGCTGAGGACAGAAAATAAATATAAGGCATTTTTTCCCCTCTTAGAATGAAGGAAATGTTGCCTCTTTCATATCTCTTAGGCTTGAAAGAACACAACAAATACTCCACAGGTAAAAGTTACTCTGAAAATCCCAGAAGTTCTGTATATTCAGAACAAGTCTGAATGTGGCTGTTCTACGGTTAAGGTACAACATGTTGTTTTAATGTTTTAATTATTTTTGTTTTAGTCATACAGTGACTGCATGACCTTTGAAAAATGATGGCATTCAAACACCAGAATATTTGATACACCAAGTAACTGTGCTACCATTCAGAGGGGCCTCTACAGGCTGCAGAAATGGGTTGACAGGAACTTCATGAACTTCAATGAGGGGAAGTGAAAAGTCCTGGGCCTGGGAAGGAACAATCCCATGTACTAGGAGAGGCTGCCCATGTGGAAAACAGCTTGCTAGAAAAGGACCCAGGAGTCCTTCTGGTGGACACCATGTTGAACAGAAGTCAGTAATGCACTCTTGCAGAAAAGATGGCCAAAAGTCTGGAGGTTGTGGAGGCTTAGGAGGAGTATAGCAAGCAGATTGAGGGAAACGATCCTGCCCCACTATATGGAGCACTGGTGAGGCCATACCTGGAGTACTGAGTCCAGCTCTGGGCTCCCCAGTCCAAGGCAGACTTGAACATACTGGAGATAAGCAAAGGCCCAGCAAAGAGCCACAATGACGAACAAACTGGAACCTATCGCCTATGAGGAAAGGCTGGGACAGCTGGGACTGTTCAGCCTGAAGAAAAGGCTCAGAGGAAACTTAGCAATGTGTTTACATACCTGAAGGGAGGGTGCAAAGAGGATGGAGCCAGGCTCCTTTCAGTGGTGCCCATTGACAAAACAAGAGGCAATGGGCTCAACCTGAAGTATGGATACTCCTTCTGAGTATCAGGAAACAAATTTTCAATGTGACAGTGTGCAACTGAGCACTGGCACCATTTGCCCAGGATATTGCCCAGGGTATTCCATCCTTATGGAAATCCAAAAGCTATTCTGACATGACCTGGGGCAACTGGCTCTATGTGACCTTGCTTCAGCAAGGCAGTTGAACTAGGTGACCTTCAGAGGTCTATTAAGATCTCATCCACTGTGTAATCATGTGAACATATAACCACATCAGCTCCTATATCATCACTCATATTTCATTGCTACAAAACTCTGAGCTAAAATAGGGTCATTTGGGAACATTGACCTTTCAAACCTACTTCATATTGAATCCATGATAAAGGTAGTTCCAAGTCTATGACAAAATTATAAAGGTGGGCATAAAGCAAAAAAAAAAAAAAAAAAANATCAGCTCCTATATCATCACTCATATTTCATTGCTACAAAACTCTGAGCTAAAATAGGGTCATTTGGGAACATTGACCTTTCAAACCTACTTCATTTTGAATCCATGATATAGGAAATTCCAAGTCTGTGACAAATTAATAAAGGTGTGCATAAAGCAAAAAAAAAAAAAAAAAAAAAAAAAAAATGTAAAAATAAAAAAAAAAAAAAAAAAACAGGCACAAAATTGAACAATGACAATGGGGGTGACACAGAATAAGAGAACAGCTGGATATCAAATCAATCACTTACAAGAATAAAGGCACTTACTTCCTGTACTGCACTTGGGGTCTAGATGTGATAAAGGGGCGCAGGAGTGTCTGTACCCGACCTTCCCAGCACCAAATCGTGGGATAGTAAGTTTCTGTCACAACAGGGCAATATTCCTCAAGAAAGCGGCAGAAACGGTCATTGCTTGCCACCAGCTGGGGTTTCTAGGAAAAGAGAATACAGTCAGACATAGGCTTTCTTATAAAACAAACTTAAAAACAAATAAATAAATAAATAAAGCTTATTTAAATCCTCTCTCAGTGAATTAATTTATTCATATAATCATTTGCAATGCTCTTACCTTTAATGGTACAGAGAGAAATAAATGAAAACCAAACAAAATGCCAAAATGCCCAATGCAAAAAGTGAAACCCATTAAGCATAATGGATTCCTTACCTATTTCTAATAACACACTGATCTAGCTCTACTTTTACCAGTATTTTATCTTTACTGACAAATTAAAATCACACTATTTCTTAGTAAACAAGAAAGATTTTACCAAGTCTGTTTTCTTGAACCACACAAAAATGACATTTAATTCATGTATGCACTTTGACCACAGTACCTTTTTTAATCTGGTAGGACACTTCTCCCATCTCATTCTACAGTACACAAGTGCATCAGTTCCTCCTTTCTAATAATGCTCTGCATGCATTGCTTACAGTTTCCATTTGTTTACCAATCAACATGGAGAAGTCCCTGTATACCAAACATCTCAGATTTTAACAACCATATTTCTTATATCTCTCTGTCACAATGACTCCCCAGCGTCAAGCATCAATAGGACAATAACACATGCTTTGAGGAAAACCATTCCACATAAACAGCTGTAAGGGCACATCCTCAATTTTTTTCCTCTTTCTAAAATCAAGTACTCTCCTCACTATGAAGAGGAAGGCTATGTTCCCAGTGGTTCTCTGAAGGACTGTGGCAACACTCAGGTCCTCGGTCAAAAACCTTTTGATATGCTTATTTTCAATTGATTACGCATTCAACGAGGCGCTTCAGGGGAGGGCCACTTCAGATCGCGTCAGGCGCACTGTATCCAAGTAATTTGCGATTGCCTAATTTATCTGTAAAACTACGGCTGATGAGGAGATGCCCAAGAGTGCTCCAGCCCCCAAAATGCTGCCATGGTGCCCCCAGAGGTACTTAGGATAGTACCGACGGGTACACAAGGGCAGCAAAACTACTTTATCACTTGCCAAGCTACTGAACCAAGTAGGTCGGGTTTGTGTTGTGGAGGGCAGTGTCCTAACCTCCCTTTCCAAAGCATGGCACCCGGCCAAGCTCTCTAACTGGTACAATTGCATTTTGGGGACTGCCGAGACCGGAGCTCCATCCCCTCCCGGACCGAGCAGGACCGACAGGGTCCCCGGCGGTCCCTGCGGAAGATGCGGCCGCGGCGGGCGGGGAGGCTGCGCTGCCGGGCCCGGGCGGGGCTCGAGCGGGGTTTCGGCCGGCCGGGACCCCGGGGCGGCACCTCCAGGGCACGGACGAGGGGTTTGAGGACAAGGCGGCCGCAGAGCCCTGCCCCCCCAGCCATTCCAGGCGCGACCCCATCGCCGACGGGCGGTGGGTCGCGGTGACCTTCGGGACTGTCCCCATCGGCGGGACACCTGCGGAGCCCGCCCGCCCCGCCGCCCTCCCGCTCACCTTGGCGATGCTGTTGAGGTAGTAGCAGGCGTAGGCGACACCGAAACCCAGTACCAGGGACAAGCCCACGCCGGAGCCGAAGAACCCCACGCGGACCTGGCTCTCCAGGTAGAGGGAAAGCTCCCTGGTCAGCACCTGCCAGTCCATGGCACACGGGGCACGGCACGGCAGGACCCCACCGCCCGACTGCCGCGGGCGAGCCCACCCCGGCGCCGAGGGAGGAGGAGGAGGAAAGGGAGAAGGAGGAGCCGGCGCCCGTCTCCCGCGGCTGCTGCCCGCGGCGCGCTGGGCGCTGCGGCGCCGCCCCGGGACCGCCCCTCCGCGGCCGCCGCGGGGCCGGGGCCGGGCTCGGTGGCAGCTTGCCTCGCCGGGGACGCAGCCCTGAGCCCCGCTCCTCCGCGGCAGTGCTGCCGGCATCGGCCGCCCCACGGCAGGTGACATCTCGGTGCTCCTTCAGTGTCACCTTGCCCCGTCGCTTTGCCGGGAGGGCGTGTGCGGGTGAGATGGGAAAGGGACCCGTCCAAAACCGTAAGGAGCAGCCGATGCAGGTGTGTGGAAACTCAGTCACTGCCCGGCACGGAAGAGGGAACATGGGCTTCCAAATGCAGCAGTGGCTAATCAGCAATCTCTCTCTAAATATTTTACGTGAGACAGAAGTGTGCTACTGCTCTTCCACTTAGACTGCTGTTACAAGGCATTAGTAAAGACCAGAGAGGAGTAGAGGTATCTCCAATTCCCAAGAGAATTTTGGCCAGCTCCCTTTTCAGCTGTATGGATTGTTGCTTGGAGGCCCTTGTGTTTGCTAACTCAGCTTTATAAAAAAATACACAGTATCTGCGTCTTTTCCTTGGCAAAATCCTAGGAGCACAGCTGATAACACGAAGATCCTGGAGCTGAGCATCTGCTATTTGAGATGCATCCACACACCACAGTACACAGAAGTACTTTTCCTCTCCTTATTTTATGGCCCAGCTCCATGAACTGCTGAGAGAAGACAGACGTTGCTCAGTGAGACTTCACTTCTTACCTTATCTGTGTTTTCTTGCTATATCCAAATTTCAAAATTTAAAAAAAAAAAAAAAAAAAAAAAAAAAAGTAACAACAGAAAAGGAGATGTGGCCTTTTTCATTTGCTGCTCCTCCTAACTAAGACACAGCTTACCAGAGAGATTCTGCTTTGACATAAAACATCTTGGTCCAAAATGTTTTTGTTCACCATGGTAAGATTAATGACAGTGTATTGCAGAGATCTGAAGAATTTTTAAATACCTATTCTTCCTATACAGTCAGCTGTCTAAAGTTGAAAAGCGTATGGGAGTTGGTAAGCAGAGGCAGGGATGGTCTGGGGTTTGTTTTTTTTTCCCCAGAGCTGTTACAGAAACAGGAAATCGAATGGGTGGAAACCTACTGTCATCAATGCTGCACTTCCTCTGCTGATGGAGAATAACCATACCCAGGTTTTGGCCCTGACTTGCTGTGAGTGTGTGCAGTACATCCCAGATAACAGGATTTATCGTGAAGGGACACTCTAGTAGGAGAGCTGGAGTACATAGTTCAGTTTGAGAACATGTAGGCTTCATCTGCAATGTGAACTTTGAAATCTTCAGAGACAAGCTGAACTGACAACTAGATTTTAAGATGCAGAGGGACCTGCTACATCTGAATGGGGAACTGGTTTTGCTTGCAGCAGACTGTTCTGTATCTGAGTCCTGTCCTCATTAGGCTGAAGAATCCTTGAGTCACCCAAAATCTAGAGAAAAGAAAAATCCCAAATGTCTGAGAAAGAAGAGGACACAGCCTGTGTCCCTGGGTCTAGAAGGCTTCTAAATGCATATCCATCAATTTGACTGAAAAGTGGAAGGTGTGGCTGTTGATGGTTAGAGAAGGCCTTTGAGTCATACAAATCCAGCAGTTTAATGACTTGATCAACAATCAAGAGAGATTGAATCCTGAAAAACCGTTCAGGCACAAAGGTTGATGAGATTTATCTGATCTTGGACTTCCACCTACCCTGTGTTGGTTACGCATGGGAATATCAACAAGGTCAGGCACATTTGACATGTTGCTGGCAAACTGAAAAAAATGATGCGCTGAGAAGGGCTGTGGGGTTTGGGTTTTCTACTGTGTAAACATGTTGCTACATTGACAACAGCGGTAATGTTAATAACTTCCTTCTGCTTCAAGCAATCCCCATCAGATCCTCCGGTTCTGGTGTTGGGTTTTTTAAAGTCTTTAAAATGTTGTCCTTTGGCCTACAACTTATTTTGCAGAGCTGATAAAGAAAAGGCTGTATTGTGCTCATACTACAACCGCTTCCAAGTGATGGAGTCATTGCAAATTATGCATGTGTGAAAAAACAAGGTTATCATTATGGTGTTTTGAAAATTTACTGCATTTTTTTTTCAGAGAAGCAAAGTCCACATTCCCAGAGAGAGTTTCTGTTTGCAATATGCTCTCTTCTCTCCAAGTGCTTTATAAAACTATTGCCTCAACCCACTACTAATGGATTATAGATTAAGCAGAAACGAAAGTGCACAGGACTGTTCTTTCATATTGTCTCCCTGCTGTATTGTGTTATTTGGTTTGTCCCTGTTTTCCCCTCATTTATGGTTTCATCCCAAGTTGTCTCCCCTTCCCTAAATGTCAATCCCATCCCCACTCCTCCCAATTCCTAGAAATTTCCTTGACAATCCCCATAGCCCTTTCCTGGCACCTTGTCTGTCACTAGACTCTCTAGAAGCTTCCACAAAGGGCGTCAAGTGATTGGCCAAGGGCCAGGGGTTCCCCCTCCTCAGCTCCCCAATATGTTCTCCTACTTGACAATTACTTTGTGTCCCACTCCCCTCTATCCCCTTGGTGGATAGCCAAACCCCTTCCTTGTTTCCACCCCATAAGGAAAGGGGCTGCTCCAGTGCCCTTGGGGGCTTTCTAGCATTGTGCTCCTCATTCCAGATGCTTCCTCGGAGCTACCAAAACACCTCGGATTTGTACAATATGGATTTGTCTCCTCCTGGTTCCCTCACCACCGCTGACAGTGCCTTCCAAGGAAAGGGCTCATAACCCTTATCCGCTCTCCCGCGCTCCTGAGCACGGAAGGGTGTCCATCCCCTGCAGCCACTGTGTTGGAGCTAGCAGGGAGGCACCAGGAAGACTCTCAGTGGACACCGCAGCAGCTTGGCGCCAGCTGTGGGGCCCCAAAAACCTCCACGGAAGAGACTGTCGGTATTCCAGCTGGAGTTACCGTTTTCAGTCTCCTGGCTGGCAAGCTACCCCAAGTGGGAGCGACCCCTTTTTGGTGGGTAGTGCTCTTGCCTTGGAGCGGGGCGGCGGAGGCACAGTGGGCCCTTTCCTTGGTTGGCTGCATGCTCCAGATCTCTGGGAAGGTGCCAGATTCTTGGAAGGGTGCCAGTTGTGGGTGGTGTTTTTTGTTTTTCTGTTTCTCCTGGGTGGGTGATTTAATTTTGACTCAGAATTTAATAGCTCAACCACAATGGGTGCAAGGCTGTCTGCGTCACAAAAGGGTGTTTATTTGCCCCTCCTGCGTGGGGGAAATCAGTTTTCTAAAAGGGAAAAACATGGACAAACCAAATAACACAATACAACATTTCCCAATTTATCTTGCTTAAGCAATAGATAATAATTGACAGAAGCAATTGGAGAGTCACAGTTTGATTTGCTTTTATCACTAGAAGTCTGCACTATGTTTATGTTATCTTTTGTTTAGGCCAGCGGTTCTATGATCATCTGGGGTTTGGGACAGAATCATTATGTCCTTACTGACATTCCAATGGACAGTTGCAAGTTGGCCCCACTGCAGTTCTCTGGGAGCCCACTCTTGGAATGGATTTCAGTGCAGTACCTCTGAGGAGAGGCTAAGGGACTTTTAACCTCAGAGCTCAAAATTCAAGGTTCCATTTGATTATATTATTTTAATGTTTGTTTAACATTGTAGTTCATCTAACAAAATAGGAAAACCACATTTGTGTCAGCATAAACTATCTTGGGATACTTAAAAAGTGTGAAGTCCATGCATAAAACATCTGAAAAGATTTCCATTAAGGAAAATACATCTAGTGTTGGTGATGTTTATTATCAGCAAGAGAATGGGAGAAAAAAAGTGCATTTGAAAAATTCAATTCAGCATTTCTCAAGTCTTCCTTATGGATATTATTTATTTGTCTTTCTTTAAAATATGAATGAAGTCAGTGAAAATGCTCTGTGTTGGAGGCTCTTCAAATTTCAGATGGAAAAACCCAGGCTGTGTACTCTTGGTGTTCATGAAAAAATCAATAATTGTGGCATTAGGAAGGACTGCTTCTTTGGTCCTTTTCTTAAGATTTGCTACTCTTACTATTATCTTCATATTCCCATGCATCTGTGTATTTTTCTTCCATGCTTCTTCTCTTTACTCCATCGGGCAGTATTTCTCAGTTCTTTATGGTTGTAAAATTGGAAAGAACAAAGGATTCAGTAAGAACTTATTTGGTGGATGAGAAATTCAACATGACCTGGCAATTGCTTACAGCCCAGAAGGCCAATAGGATCCTGGGCAGTGTCAAAAGGAGTGTAGCCAGCAGGGAAGGGAGATGATTCTTCCCCTCTAATTTTTTTCTTGTGAGAACCCACCTGGAGTGTTGCATCCAGCTGTGGAGTCCTCAGCACAGGAAAGATGTGGACCTGGTAGAGGGCCACAAAAATTATCAGAGGCTTGGAGGACCTTTGAAGACAGACTGAGAGGAGTTGTTCATCCTGCAGAAGAGAAGGCCCTGGGGACACCTAAAGCTGCATTTGGATGCAATGGAGGGCTACAGGAGACCTGGAGAGGGACTTTTTATGAGGGCTTGTAGTGGTAGGACAAGGGAGAATGTGTCACTGTTGGGTAAGAAAAGACACAGACTCACCAAAAGGCTGATTTGCACTTAACTTTGAATTCACTCTTTTTGTACATTGTTCCAATACAGATGGACCAGATTGGTCAATTAATCAATACATTCCACCTGATTGGATAATTAACAACGTGCCTTTCTTATAAACAATCCTTGTGAAAAACAGGAAAACAGAGTAGGAAAACAACACCTGCAGGTTGTTCATGATAATAAGCTACTGTTGTTTATCTTCAACTCCCTAAAGTCTCACAAGCTGATTCTGGGAAAATTTAGCTAATTTTCTCACTCTCTGACCAGGCTGTCACATCCACAGGAATGGCTTTAAATTGGATGAGGGTAGATTTGAAGATTTCAGAGAAGCTGTGGATGTGCCACTTCTGGAGGTGTTCAGGGCCAAAGTGGGTGAGGCTTTCAGCAACCTAGTCTAGTGGAAGGTATCCCAGCCTATGGCAGAGGGTTGTAACTAGATTTTATTTATGGTCCCTTCCAACCCAGACCATTCTGTGGCTCTATGATAATTTTGCTTCTTCTGTTAACTATGTTTCCTTCAATTAAATGCATTTCAATTCATCAGGTGTGGTATTGTTTTACTCTCTGTTAGGGTGACTGAAGATAACTTCAATAGCTGCTGCAACAGGAAGACTGCTCAATATTTGTCTCCCTCGGGATGACTCTTGCAGGATTTGATTTGCATGAAAGCAGCTCCCTGCCTTTGACTACAGCTGGCAAACTGCTAAATACAAAACAATGGCTAATAGAGGACTGTTGAAAGTGAGCCACCAAATTGAGAATGTCTGTCTTACCAATTTTTTTCATTAAAAATATTAACAGAAGCTGCTAAAGAACTTAAAGAATTTTTGAAAGAGCACACTAGAACTGGATGTTGAATCCATGTTAAGTTTCTTCCTGTCTTCAAGGAAGATATATTGCAGTAAAGCATTCTCAGTTTTATTTATCTGTTTTCATTCCTTCATAATAACTTCAAAGAAGATAAAAGGATAAATAGTTGTGTTTCACACAAAAGACCAAAATATCTTAGAGTTATTTATAATCATTTAACACCTCCCTCCCCAGTGAACTAACTTCATATATTTTGGTAAAGTCTATGTACATCAGCAGTATGGTCCTAGCTGAATTCAGTGGAGTCAGAAATAAGCTCAATTAATCTTCTTCCTTTAGGTAATTTCTTAGATTTTATTTAGCATGTTAAGAGGGAAAATTATTTATATGAATTGTATACAAATTTAAGTGAAAGGTATCATTTAAATGTTTATGCAAAGCATTTTGCCTTGTTTAGCAATGGATTTTTTAAATTTAAAAAAAATTCTAGCCATGTTTTAGATAAATACATATTTCAACAAGTCTGTCACAGTGTACTGCAAATATTGCTTCTTAGAATTTACGATTACATAATGTTGTGACTGGAACAATTTTCTTGTGACAAAACAGAAAATTTAGATTCTACTTGAGTTGCTCAATGTTTGTTACTATTTTGGAGGATTGTTAAAATTAAACAGAGGTATTTTTTGGTATTCATCTTTCAGGCATTACTTAGTGCATACTGAATGCCTTTGTAGTACAAGACAAACCTGTACTTGACACAGGACACTGTATGCACATGATTGGCCCCATTGATTGCAACAAAGATTATTGTGCACATAAAGTAAAAACATTCTTAAAATATCTTGACCACTCGTGGAGACAGTTTATTTTCCTACCAGTCTAAAAACATGAGCTAGCTGGTTCTGATTACATCTTAGAATTTCAAGTAAGTACTTTCTTTACAATCTTTGCAATCAGGAAATTTAATACTAGGAAGAAATTAATTCCTCCTTGCAATGCATCACCTAATTTAAAAATAATCTATAAATTAAACAAATATGGCTAAACCCTTGGAAATATCAGGTAAGTATATGTTTTTGAATCCTGTGAGGTGTGCTAAAGTAGAAGAATTTGTATAGATGTGCTAACATCAGTACCTGGTATTGTAGTGTGTATGCCCTAGACTGCTACATAATTTTTAATTATTCTATTTTATCTTTGAATATTTAAAACTTCTGGATTATCTTCACAGGTTTCTTACTTCTTCTCCACTCAAAAGAGTTCAGCACACTAAAACTTAACACCTTAAAACTTTTTTCAACATGTTGAGGATTTTAGCTATATACAAAAACCCCCCAGAAAACCCCCAACCCCAAAAAACATTATTTTTTTGCAGATCTCCATAGGTGTGCTTCTTTTTCCCAGCAGGAAAATGAAATTATGTCTCTCTATTCTGTTCTCTGCTAAGCTGTTTTTCTTTTTTAGAAAAGGAGATAAAGCTCCTTAGAAAAGAAAATCCAGTTTCATAGATATTGTGGGTTAATAAATCTGTTCTAATTAACAGTTTCATATGGGATGTCATTAGCATAGTGGAAAACAAACTCACCAAGGCAATTTGCTCTGGTGCATGACAACTTGCTTACTATCTGGCATAAAAAATATTTTAATCTGCAGAAACTAGGAAAAAAAGCAATGCCAATTATTCGTGACATTTCTGAAAATTGAGGAAGAAAATTGGATTGTGCCGGGGTAATTAATCTGGTAAATAAAGCAGAGGAAATAGAGTGCGACAAGTTAAGACGACGGGTGTGTTTTATCATTCGTGAGCGATGGTTCACGGCCTCGCGATGGCAGCAGAGGCTGCAGAATCAGGGTTGTTTTTGACAACTAAACCACGGATAATAAACAGGATATGCCCTGCAGTTCCTAACTGGTACTTCGGGTTCCAGAAAATGTACATTATGTACATTTTCACTTAAAGAAGTGGCATGTTTATCAGACCAGAAGTTTCTGTGGAGTGGGGTTACATAATTTCATTTAAAAAAAAGTTCAGAGCATTTTTTTTTTTCCAGTAAGACAGTATTGTTTATCTAATTTGCCAATATTTCTGTTTCCTCAGTTACTTAAGGTAGTTACACAGAGAAGAATAGGCCAGTAGCTTCCTTTTTCCTCATTTTTTTTCCTAGTACTTTTGTCCACAGGAAAGAACTGTGGTATAAAATCCATTTTGAGGAAAACCAGAAAATTAAAATCTAGAATGCTGTCAGTTTCCAGGAGGAAGATTTAAAAAAATGTGAAAAATGTGCTTGTTCCAAAATGTCTTGAACTAAGGAAGCTGAATTTTTCGACTCAGATCAGTATAAATTTATAAGCTCTATCTCTGTAATTTAAAAAGAAAACTGCAGTCTGCTCATTGTATCCAAATTAGATGTTCTTTCTCAACTTACAGGCAGCTATTTATATATATTTCCTTCATATGACAAGTTCTAAGAACTCAGGATTTGTGCAAGATAGTAAATGAAACCTTGCAACTCTACAAGTTAAAAATTGTCTTTCCAAAAAGTTGAGATTTTTTTTTTCTTCTGACATGTGTAAAAGCAAGTCTTTCATATAGAATTCTTTCCTGCAAAAGGCACAGTTCCCTTTCTGTATTCCAGATAGCACAGTTCCCTTTCTGTATTCCAGATAGCACAGTTCCCTTTCTGTGGTCTGTTTCCATTTTGTGTTCCTGATACTACACAGCAAGTTCATCTTTAATCAAACAAGACAGTCCAGAAAAACTTCCATCAAAGCCTCTCTTCAATCCAGGCAAGTACTTACATTGGAATTTCCTCCTGGAGCATGACATTTTGCAGATCTGAAAGACAGCCAGGCAGAGTTTAGACAAGCAGCTTTCTTGACGGCTTTGATGGGCAGGAGCATGGGCTGGATGTTCTCCGAAGTCCTATTTCCTGTGACTCTACAAGAGTTGTCTTGAGAGTTGCCCTACCCTTCAGAAGGGTGGCAGCTGCTCTTATAGAAAGTCACTCTTAATAAAGTGTTTGCTTTCTAACAAAACCAAGGAGGCTACAGGGTATGCACAGCACTGGATTCTGCACAAGCCGGAGGTCTTCTCTCTTGGCTCCTTACTGGATTGCTCCAGTATGGCAGAAAGTGGTGAGGAAGACCATAATCACCAGCTGGGGGATAGACTCAGCAAATACACATAATTTTGGGTAGCCAGAAGAGAACATGTTCACTAGATCATTTTGAGCATCCGAACTCCTGCACTGCATGAATATGAATGAGTCTTTGCAATTAGAGAGAGTTTGCCTAAAGCACTGTGGATTCCCTTCCTCCAGCCTGTGATTCAACTGCTCTGCCACAACTACCTGAGGTGTTCAAAGCAAGTGCTGTCTCACAGGGCCAGCAACATTGTAAATAAGCCTTTCACAGATGAATGTTGCTCCTGATGCAGCAGTTTTAGGCATTGCTGCTCTGCCAGTCAGAATAGTGGGAAAAAAACCCCATAGTGCCATTCTTCTACTGGTTCTAGGTTTGAGGGGGGGTTATAAGTGCAATTTTTACATTCTAGACCTGAAAAGCAAAGAAATAAATTGTCTGCCAATTATAGTATTGAGGGCTTAGATGGCATTTTCCTCCACAATCTGAGGACTGATAAATTACCTGTAGTGTGAGCACATGGATTCACAAGGGACAGTCCTGTTTAACCAGTTTGGTATGATACAGTCACACATCTAGTGGTTGAAGGGAAGACAGTGAACACAGTTTTTCTGGATTTTAGTAAGGCTTTTGATACTGTCCCTCACATCATCCTTTTGGACAAGTTACCCAAACATGGGATGAGCCAGTTCACAATGCACTAGGTGAAGAACTGGCTGAAGGAAAGGGCTTACATGGTTGTGGCGAATGGGGTCACATCTGGCTGGTTACTGGTCACCAACAGTTCTCCTCTCCTCAAATACGCAGAGTAATTTGAAAATGGAAGGTAAGAAACTTGCATCTCTTCTCTCTCTTCTTCTCTCTTCTCTTGCCTTCTCCTTTCTCTTTCTCATCCCTTCTCCCTTCTCTTCTTTTCTGTAAAATGGCTGCAATTGGAGGCAAATTCAAATTCAGAGACACTCTTGGCATACATCAGGAGAAGAAAACAGTCCTATTGAAGGACCAGAGAATTGTTAGAGACAACTGCAAATCCACATCAATTTATTTTGTGTACAACCAGCCAGCCAAGGAGCTAACACCTTCTGCCTCACAAAAGGCCTTAAGCCAACAAGGGTTTTTCTCAGCTGAAAAATGAATCTGAATTCTTCCCTTAAGGTGTTACTGTGGCTAGTTTCCCAGCTTCTAAAGAAAATGCTGACACATATCTGAAAATGTGGTGTCTGTCACTTTTCTTGTCACAATATGTCAATTGGATCCAACTCTCTATGGAATCTTTATCTTGTTTATACTTCTGCTTGTTTTATTTATATTTTTTTCAAAATTTAAAGTTCTCTTCTTCTTCTTGCTATTACATTCTGATTCTTCTATCGACACTCCTGTGAGTCTCCAGTAGTCTTCTGGTCCTTATTCAGAATTAGGTTTTCTCGCTTATTATTCTAACACTAATGCTGTGGCTGATACCAGAAAAATATCAAGATAGGACCACTTAACTGTCCAACAAAACTTGAAAATCTTTCCCCAAAGCTATATTATTTTTCTGTGCCCTGATGTCACTTTTTAAAATCTCCATCTGAAAATGGCATTTAGTGCTTATTTTGAAGGCTAATTCAAATAAAATATTCAAGAGCTAAATATCCTTTTTTCTTTACTAGTTGGTTAAACAGGAGCACAGAATATGGACTATAAATTATGATTCAAAGAGACAATATAATAACATATTTGGGATTCTGGAAAATTGAATCACGTAGCCAATGACAATTTTTCACCTTCCACAACTTTGTGGCCATATAGGAGTAGAAAATACTAATGGGAGATTAGAGTGCAAAAATTTGTCATGAACTCACTGGCACGTGAATACATCAGCCCAGTCTATCCATCCTTCATTTTCTTCCACTCAAATAAAGTAGTACAAGTATTTTGATCTGGTAAAGAACTCCCTGTCAGCTATTGAGGGAGTAGTCTCATTCAGCGCAATAGATACTGGGTTCCAGTTATTACTTACGCTCTTGTGTGTCTAAGACACCTCTGAAATGATCCACCATCTTTAGAGAGTCTGGTTTTTGCAAGTAAATCATCTGATAGAAAAAGCAGGAGAGTAGGAGGAGAGGCACGGGTTATTGTGATAGAGCATGAGTCGTCAGAAGGATTATTGGGAGATAAGAAGCTCCAGGATAATACCTACCCACATACATTGCTGCTGAGCTGCAGCAGCAGCAGATTCTCTTAAGGTCTGTAATTTAGAATATAGTCTTTATGGAATAATTAATGTAAGGGATGAACTTCTCGGATTCTCTCCAGGAGAACTAATTCTGATCTCAGACTTCATTAGTTATTTCTTTTCCTGAAAAGAAATACCTTTCCTGATTACAAAAAGCCTTTTTTATCTATCTGTACCAGAGTAATAGAAAAACATACTCTGGGTTATCCTTAGGCATGTGTGAAATTTATACTTGTCCATAACTATCAAAGCACGAAAAAGTAGAATGAGGCAGATAGGCACATTATTCCTACAAGACTCCAGCTAGATCTTTGATACATTAAGAAACCTCCAGAATTTCTGGGAAATTCTGCCATGTACCAATGCAATAAGCTAGTACAAGCTGTGGGTAGCTTTTGTATAAGGAGGAACATGTGCCATAAAACCCACACTGCCTGACAGCTGTGTGGTATCTGTTGGGCTTTGAGGTTTCCACTGCAGGAGCAGAAATTGGACACTGCTTGGGATTGTCCATTGTCAGGACACAACATCATGTTAGAGGTAACATTCTTCAGCCTGAGCAGGGTTTTAGAAGGAATAAATTATATGAGGAATGTGGTGGCCTGGTGGTTACATGTCCATATTATTCTGCTGTGTTTTACCTTTTGTAAAAAATTGCACAAAAGAAGTCAGGAGATGACTTTGTAGACTCTTCTAGCTGTATTGATAATCACAAAGGCGTAAGAAAGCACAAAACCAGTAAAAATACCCAGAACATAAGGTATGCATTTTTTTAGCCATAACCCTGTTGACTAAGAAATGGTTTTCTTTTGTCTGGTTCAGACTTTCCTGTCCTTCAGGATAGATGCCTTTTAAAAAGGTGACACACAAAAGAAGGAGACATAAAAGCAATGGAGGACCATTTTTAAAACGAAGAATCATTCTATAAAAGATTGGCAAGGTTGTGTGGAGTTAAAGGAAATACTTGAGTGTCACGAGAGTGCTAACGAAGAGGGTAGTTTATGAAGAATTACATTGCAGGTATTTGCTCAAAGTTTGAGCAAGTACATCCTCTGTGAAGGATCCTCTGAGGTGGGAAGGGCAGGTGGAGGTACTGATTACTCCCTTCGGCAGACTGGAGCACCTGAACACAGCTTAAAATGTTCCTGGGTACAAAAGTGTGGCCCCACCAACTTCATCTCGGTAGTACGCAAGCCTCACATCTACAGTCTGAAAAGAAAGTGGGATGTGAGGACACAATAATAAATCGAAAATGAGAAAACACTGCTTTGAAATCATAGAATTGTAGATTCATTAAATGTCCCATCCATGGAAGTGTTCAAGGTTGCTTTGGATGGGGATTTGAGTAACCTGGTCTATTGGAAGTTGTTCCTGCCCATGGCAGGTGGGTTGTAACCAGATGATCATCAAGGACCCTTCCAGCCCAAAGCATTTGATGGTTTACCTAAGGTAGATCACTCATGACTTAGTTGATAAAATTCAATTGATAATCCCTCTGCCACTGAAGCATAGGCAATAGGAGCACCTTGTGGATGGAGAAGGAGGTGGGCGGTTCGGCCACACCTCATCACCTCAGGGCCGGGCGGGGCGGTGCGACAGCCCTCGGCGGCAGGACGCCGCGATTCCCGAAGGAATGGCCGGGCTGGGGACCTGCTGGAGCCTCCGCCAGCGCTGCGGCAGGGACGCGCAGCCCCGGCTCGCTGCCCCGCTCCCGGCCCTTCCCTCGGGCGCGGCCCCGGCTCGCTGCCCCGCTCCCGGCCCTTCCCTCGGGCGCGGCCCCGGCTCGCTGCCCCGCTCCCGGCCCTTCCCTCGGGCGCGGCCCCGGCTCGCTGCCCCGCTCCCGGCCCTTCCCTCGGGCGCGGCCCCGGCTCGCTGCCCTGCCTGCTCCCGGCCCTTCCCTCGGGCGCGGCCCCGGCTCGCTGCCCCGCTCCCGGCCCTTCCCTCGGGCGCGGCCCCGAGCCGGGCAGGGCGCGGGGCAGTGCCCGCCGCGGCTCCGCAGGGGGCGCTCGAGTGACGCGCCCGCCGCGGCGGCTGCGCAGGCGCGGCGGGGCGGGGGCGGCCCCGCCGGTCTCCCTGGAGCCGGCGCCGTCGCGGGCGCAGGTCCCGGATGTAGCGGCGGGAGCGGGGCCGGCGGTGGGAGCGGGTGGGGGGCGCCGCTGGGGCCGGGGAATGGGCGCGTAGGGAGCGAAGAACGAAAGAAGGGAAGGAGCGAGCGAGCAAGGAGAAGAGCCGGACGGAGATTCCCGCCCGGCGCCCGAGGTAGCCGCCCCCATCGGGGTCCCCCTCCGCCGGCTGCGGGCTGCGCGCCCCCTCCATCCGCCCCGGGGCTCCACCGCCGGGATGAGCAGCTCGCGGAACAACCGGGTGATGGTGGAAGGAGTCGGGGCCCGGGTGGTCCGCGGCCCGGACTGGAAGTGGGGGAAGCAGGATGGCGGCGAGGGCCATGTGGGCACCGTGCGCAGCTTCGAGAGCCCGGAGGAGGTGGTCGTGGTGTGGGACAACGGCACCGCCGCCAACTACCGCTGCTCCGGGGCCTACGACCTCCGTATCCTCGACAGCGCGCCCACCGGTGAGCGGGGAGGGAACGGAGGCACCAACACGGCGCTGGGTCTGGGCGGCAGCATCGCGTGGTGCTGGGGGTCCCGTCCTGGGGAGCGGATTGCGCCCTTCCTTCCCCTTTGGAGGTGCGCCTTTTCCTTGGATTTTGGGGGAGGGGGAGTCAGGCACCCGCCGCCTCCCTGCGCGTGGGTGTCTGTCTGTGCACGTCCGTATGTCTGTGCGTGTGGACACGCAAACTTGGGACGAATCTACAGCGCGGGGCCGCGGGGACAGAAGTTGTCCCGGGACTGCTGAATTGGGGTAGACAAAGCAAAAGTGATCTGCTACAGACAGCAGGCTCCTGTTGTGCCGGGGAGGAGGTGGAGGGAGGCAGCCGAGAGGGAGATACATCAAGGTTTGGGTTTGCTTTCACGCCCTGATCCCCACTTCTTGAGTTTATGTTTCAGAGCAGGTTTGTAAAATTCTGGCAATCATCCTTGAATCAAGTGCAGGGATAATTACAGAAGAAATGTGTACTGTGTTTTTTTCTAAAGGTTACACTAAGTGGTTGAAATACCGTGGTTTTGTGCCTGTAATCTGCACGTTGCCTTTTATCTGTATTGTCAGAGCTGCTGTGAAATGGTGAAGCTACTGGGAGGAAAAGAAGTGCATGAGTTCATTATTTTAATTAGTTAGCTGCTTGATATTTATGCTTTAAATCCTATCATTTTAGACAATGGAATTTGATCTGCACTGACATTATGCGGCAGTGTTAGTGTTGCAAACACTGCAGGGAAATTGTTCATTTTAGCACCTGTTTTTACAGTGAAAAGTCACACAGAAAAATATAGATATTGTTAAGTTTCATCAGAAACATCGTGAGGTGGCTTTTGGGCCGGTCAGGATTGCCTCAGTAATGAGGTGTTTGCACTGATTTGTTTGAGGCACTAGAGCTGTATTCTTTTGTAATGTGTCTTTCATTTAGAACGTGATGGAGAGACCATCTTTGTGCCAGCTACGTGTAGTGTTACAGCAAGGAAAATTATAGCAGCAGTTGAAGCTAAAATACTTGAGGAGACAGAATCATGGAATTGATCCGAACAAATTACAAAAAATTTTGATAAGGAAAGAGCCCCAAATATTGCATGGTTACCATTTGAGATGGATTTAATTTTTCAGTGACTGGGTACCTTCTTCTCTGCTGGCATGGTGATTGTTTTTTTGAAAAACCTTTTGCAATGGACTTTAAAACAAGAAAGAGGAGTCTTTCAGGTTGTCAGTCCTTGTCTTGCAGGTGTTTATGCTTAGAAACTTAACTGTGTTTGATGTCCTGAAGAAACCAGTGGGACTGCTTCTGCTTAGAAGTACATGCATAAATGTTGCATATGAGCCTCGAATGCTCATTGTTCTAGCCCTGCCTGACATTTGCAAGCAGAGGTGTCCTCTTAACTGTATCTGGAAGCCTAGACTTAATATTCAGTCTTAAAACTATCATGTTTTTATTTCTGTTTCTTGCTTTATTCCTCCTGATTTTCATTTTTCTTTATACTTCTGTATTACAATTTTAACTTCTGTTTCAGATAAAACTCTGTATTTTGTGTCACATGCATTGCTGTTGCCAGGCTTAGCAAAACGGTATTTGATCTCCTGTGGTTTCTGGCGAACATCATCCTCATCCTCATGGAACTGTTGTGTGGAAGTACCCAGGGTTGCTTTTGCTAGAGAGAGTTACTTTTGGGGTCTTTATTCCCTGGAGATAGGAAGAGTAGAAGTCCACAAAGTAGTTTTAACAAAAAGGCAAAATTAACTGAGTTAAGGTGCTGTCAGTTTGGACTGAAGTCCTCGGTTTATTGCTGATTCACTTTGTAGTCTTGTCTAAATCACTTCCCTTCTTTGCCTTTTGGTAATGATTTGGTTTTTCTCCATGGTGGTGACTGTCTGTTGTTTAGAGTAAGTGGCTCTGACTTTGGATAATGCTTTGATACTTCTCTAGGGACATTAATATGAGCGGGATTAGGTGACAGAAATTTCTTGTGGTAGTATTAATGATGATGTTGAACAAGGAAATGTTACAAAGCATGGGGTGGCTTTTTGTTTGATGATACTTAGTGGAGTGTGTATCATGGCTCTTAGAATTTAAAATGAAAAAAAATTCTCTGGTTCATGAATTTACAGTCACAATGTGAGTTTATAGGGAAAATAAATATAAAAGTCAAATAATAAAAATAATAATTAGTTCTTGCTGTGAGTTCTTTCTATTATGTATTCATAACTAGTCTTGATTGTAAGTTCTTAGAAGTGGTGCTTGCAGCCAGAGTTGCTGCTTTAAGTTTGAAGCCTGTGTAGCCAGGAACAGTAGTGGTGCATCAGGAACTTAGAGTGTTACAAAAGTAATTATTGAAGGTCATTCTATTAAAAAAAATAAAAAGGCAAATTGAGTTTGATTAATGTATGTGCATATATATGTATATGCCAGAACTATGCTTCATATACTTAAACTGTTCTTATCTTTCAGGGGTTGTAGGCTATTACCAGCATTGTGACACTATGTTAGCATCTTAGAAAACTTTAATAGCCTTAGTGCTAAGATACTAGGTTGGTCTTCTTAAAATAAAAACTCATTTACATGAAGAATATGTATTGTAAACTCTTTGCTCTGGATGCAGTCATCTGGGTCATGAGGGACTTGAGATACAAAGTTCGGTGTTGTTTTGGTTATGTCTACCAGGTTTGTGTATTGGCTGTCCTTTGTTGTGGTCATATTTACATTGCCCCATATTGCTTTAAGTGACACAGAGCACTTGAGAGGGATCGGTAAACCAAGGATTTGAAAAGAACCAAAATTTCACATGGAAGTAAAACTTCAGGTAGGTCCTATGTATCTGGCTCCTCAATGGAGAAAGGGGTCAGATGTGATACATCAGTAGTGCAGTGTGGTTGTTCAATTACTTGCACTTAAATCCTGTTTTTTTCTGTGAAGTAGACTTTTGCCAGGATCTATGAGTCTTGAGTGTCACCTTTTTTTGGTAATGTTCTGAAAAAGGAAGAAGAGAAGTTTTCCGAGTTGCTGAAGAGAAGCATGAAAGTTATAAATCCAAGCTTTTTATTTAGAAAGGAAGGCAGCCTTTTACCTGTGCTAAAGGCCAGACAAGTAGCATGTTTGTAGAGAGCACATCTGGCTGTCTGGCTGTATTCACATAATAGCCATAAGCAATATGGAAACGTTTTCTGTTTATTCTCTTTCTATAGAGCAGAATTCATTTGTCATTAATTCCATTTTTTATACAGTGGGTTCAAAGTAACAATATTATTTCCTTGCTGAAAGAATTTACCAATTGTGTTTGAATAAGGGGAGGTGGCGGAGGGGCTGGAGTCAGGAAATGGAAGTCTTGATACAGAATTGTCCCCCAGCTGGAGTGTGTATCAGTGTAGTGTGGAAAACATAATGTGCTGTATTCTGGTAATACTGAAAATCTGGGCGTTACCTGTGGTAGATGAGTGGCTTTCTGTATTGTCTTAATAGGTTTTTATACCTAAAAATGGGCATAATTGATAATGAAGTCAAACATGTTAAAAGCATTCTAAAAGACAGAACACCTATGATTTATCCTGTGTATTTGTTTATTTGTTCTTGCTTTTAGAACATCAAGTGTAATTTACAGCAAGTTATGTTAGACAAGATTTTTTTAGTGGCTACGTGTAAATACTTACAGGAGTCCTCACAAATTAAAAAAATGAATAGCTTCCTGAGTAGTGGTACTCGGGAGGCCTGTTTTTTAAAATAAACGTGTTCTTTGTTCTCCCTGCCCTTCCCCCATGACTCCTACACGATAATCCTCTCCCTTCCTGTATATCTTGTGATTCCCTTACCAGATAGGACACATGCTTTAGCAAGTCTGGTATTTTGTATCTAATAGTAATTGGTCAGCTGGCTACTTGCAGATGATGTATTTAGTAGATTAGTTATTTTTGTGGCAACACTCATTAGAGTTTTCATGCAGTTTTTCAGAATCTGATTATCTCTAAGAAGTTTTTGTTTTCAATTTACCTAAAGTCTGGCCCTAATGTAAAAATGGTCTGGGGGGGAGGAATAGGAAGAACAAAACATTATTACTGCTTTTTAAATTGGGGTGTATATAAATCAGTTTTTAAAGTTGTTTATGGTTTCCCTTACCTGATGGTAGTATTGTCATGGCATGAAGGGATTTTGGTTCATTATAGGTTTGTAGAGAGGAATGTCTCCATTAGAAACCAGATTTTGATTGTTCTGAGAAGTGAAATCATTACTGGTATCTTCTGTGCTTAACAGTGATTGAATGTGGGTACCCCTTGTACATCTGATTTTACTGTTAAAATCCTTTTATTGGACAGTTGTATATTGGCGTCTAATCAATCTGTAGTACAAAAAGCCTATTTGTAACAAATTCAAATAACAATTTGAGCAGCATCACTTTTATTTCTGTTCACAGCTGTAAGAGTGACATGTGTTTCAAAAACTTGTGAAGGGCTGTAAAATTGATGTATAAATGAGCGGTGACAGAGGAATAGCGAGGTAGGTGATCCAGGGAGGATTTGGGAAGAGATGAGAAAAGTGAAGATAACCATGGCATTAAGGTAGAAAGTGAATATGAAATTCAGATATAAATTATAATAAAATAATAAAAGCATTAATGGCAAGTGGACATCAGGAGTATTGGATTTTATAGTGTACTAAAGGTGAAGAGACAAAGAAATAGCAGCTACTTAAAAGTAACTAGGCATGATGAAAGTATGCTTCTTATTACCTGGTTTGTTTTGGTTTTTAAAGTGTATATGATACAAAACTGGTTTCATTTTGAAATAGTCTGGTTCTAGGAAATGTTGAAGAATATTTAGAAGTTTAATTTTTTTCATTATCTCTGTTTAGAGAGCTAAAAGTGCTCTTCTGGTGCATAGCTGGTCAGCTATAGGCTGTTGTCTGAATTTTAAAGTTTTTATGGCACTTTAATTTATTCCAGTAGTTTAATGAATGCTTTCTTTCCTAATATAAACTTTGTAATGTTTGTGTTTCTCAAACTTTCTTAAACAGCCTTCTTTTGAAGAGGGGAAGAGTTTATGTGACAGATTTTGCTTCTGGGTCAGGATTTTAGTTTGGCTCCAGAACCTACACTTGATGCAGTCTCCTGGTTGTTCCTACATACTGTGCTTTGATTTACGTCATGACTGGTTTGGGAGTGCATAAATGCTTTGCTTTTTGGTAAAAGTAAATTGAAATACATGATCTCAATGCTGATGAGCCTTCAGTCCATTGGGGTAGAACCAAGCTAGTCTGAGGCTCTGGACATAATGTCTCCTTCCTTCCCTCTGAGTATCTTTAGTGCCACTGTCAGGTCCTTGGTGCTGAGTTTTGGTGTGTGGATGGTTTACCAGAGGATGGATACCTCAGTGTTGCAGGTTGTCTTTGTGCCACCCATGGAGTGCCACAGTGGAGCAGGGATCCTCACTGCAGCACATAGGGGAGCCTATGCTCAAAGAGTGTTTTCTTCAAGGAATAAAGCTTGTGGAGAGGACACATGATGGACAGGGGAAAAGTGTGAGGAGCTGTTACGGATTTCATCCTGTGTTCCCCATCTGCACCAAAAGGGTTGTCAAGCACTGGAACAGGCTGCCCATAGGAGTGGTTGACTAATCATCCCTGCAAGTATTTAGAAGTTGTGTAGGCATGGTGCTTAGGGACATGTTTTAGTGGTGATCTTGGTGATATTAAGTTAATGGCTGGACTTGATGGTCCTCAGGGCCTTTTCCAACCAAAAGATTATGTAATTTTAATCTACCCTGGGAAGAAGCAAGGAGATAGAGGTGTTTGGAATGAAGGAATGCAGTTGTCTCTGTGAAGACGGTGAAGTGTAGGGAGAAGGTGTTTTAGTTTCTGTTTTCCTTACCATCCTCTTTGTTTTTTTAATTAGCTATAAGTTTTCCCCAAGTCAAATCTCTTTTGCCTGTGATGGTGATTGGTAAATAATTTCACTTTTAGCATGACCTAAGATGTTTCATTTTGTTTTCATTCTTTGTCCTGTTAAGGAGGGAAGAATGAGAAACTGGTTGGGTGGACACCTAACATCCAGGCAAGGTCAACCTACTACCCTTCTGTACCTATAATATCTAGTTGAACTTAAATTCTTTCAATCTTCTCTAACATATATTATTGATCTAAATAATTTTGCTTGTGTTATGACCATGAATAAGAGTTTAGTGTCCCATTATGTGATCAGTAGTAGCACCTTGTTTTAGCCTTTTTTTTTTTTTTTTTTTTTTTTTTTTTTTTTTTTTTTTTTTTTTTTTTTTTTTTTGGCAGATGAAATTCAAGGTCTCTTTATCCACTGTCACCAGAAGCATACAAAATGCTTCTTCCTTCACATCTCTGGTGCAGTGGTTAGACATTCTGTAACAGGATTACTTGCCTGCTCCTGCCCTGCAGTTCTTTGTTTCTCATGGCAGTAGTGTTGTGCAGCACCTCAAAGAATGGGATTGGGAAACCACTTCAGCTGAATATTTTTCCTCCTGGCTGTTTTCCAGCCTGGTATGTTTCTTGATGCAGTTTGCATCCCAGCTCTGCAAAAATCTTTTGCTTGCCTAATGAAAAGAATGGAGCAGCATGGTCAGGTGAGGCATGCACTGAAGTGGGTGTTGCTGCTGGAATGTTGTGTTGGGGAATGGATGAAGAAAGGCCATATCTATCAGGATGGTGTTTAGGGAACTGTGAGATACAGAAACGTCACTTTAGATCAGACACTTCAAGTACAGACGTGCACTGTTCTTTTTTTAAGTCCCAGACACTGTGGTCAGTAAAATGACTTGAGTCAAATATCTTTGTACAATTTTTTCTTGATCTTTCCTAAAGAAATTTTGCTGAGTTTTGCATAGCTGCTTTTGCCTGGTTGTCAAGAAGTGTTTAGTTTTTAAGTTTACAATGAGATGACCTATTCTGTATCACATGATTCCTGATTATACCTCTCTTTTGCCGTTTTTTCTGCTGTTTGGTCAAGTGGAAAAATCCTACAGCACCCAGTTCCTTTGTCCCTTCACATCCAGAATAAATGTATTTCTTGGTTAAATGCCATCCCAAAAGTTCGGCAGGCATTAAAAAATAAAATCAAATTATGTGTAACTTCTGTTTCTATGTGAAATACTGATTTAGCAATCAAATAAAACCAAAACAAATAGTACTTCTCAACCCTAAGCACCATAACTAGTTAGACTTTTTAAACAAGGTGACAAAAGCACTAACAAGGTATCTCTGTGCTTTCAATGCATCCACTCCTGAAGAATGGCTTTGAAAACCTAAGGATAGTAAAATGCCTCAATACCGTCCCTAGAGCAAGAGGGATTGGTCATACTGAGATTCAAGTGAAGGGCTGCAAATGTGTTGTTGCAAAGACTCTTGAGGGCATCTGGTACAGGAAGAGGATGAGGGATCTGGTGGTGCTTATTCTGGAGAAGAGAAGGCTTGGGGAGATCTTAGGAGTGTATATAGATACCTGATGAATGCTGTAAAGAGGATGGAGCCAGGCTCTTTTCAGTGGTGTCAGGTGACAGGGCAAGAGAGAATGGGCATAAATTGAAATACAGGAATTTCCACTGAAATTAGAGAAACATTTTTTTTCTAGGGATGGTTGTATATGCTGTGTTGTGGAGTCTGTTCTTATTGGTAATCAAAACCTTGATTGGATATGGTCCTGGGCAGCCAGCTCTAGTTTACTTTGCTTTGAGCAGTGGTTGTTGGAAAAGACAATTTTCAGACATTACTTCCAACATCAGCTGTTACGTATTTCTGTGAAATGATCAAAAAAGAAGGCATTTCCTTCAGTTTTGCCTTTCCAACTGTTGATTTTTCTTTGCTGCAGATGGTTCAGCTGTTGGGTGTAAGTGACTAATAGTTTCATAGTGAATTTGGCAGTCATCTCTGAAAGCATCCCTGCTGGAAGGGGCAAAATCCATTCTTTTTTCTCAAGTTCAAATTGATCTGTGATTTTTTTAAGGGGAAGTGACTGGGAAAATTCTGTGTTACTCTAGCTTCTTAGTGCTTATTTCTGTCTAGTGCTACAGACTGAATGCTAGTGCTTCTCTCTTGTATTGCTCATTTTTTTCCAAAGAGCAGAATTGATTTTTTTTTTTAATAAACTTGTGGCTGTTCACTGTATTTAGAATGGGTGGATGGAAACTCTGTGACTGATCATTTTCACTCTGCTGTAGCTTGGCAGAGTTGTAAGCCTAAAGCCTTGGGATCGGTTTTTGTGGAAGGCTTGGCAGAGCTCATGCTGGTGGGTTACATCTGGTCTGTCTCTGGCACAGTCTTTTTAGAAGCAAAACCAAAATAACAGTAAAATGCTTCAAAAACGTTAACAGATTTTCATGAAGCAAATGGCATCTATCCAAGAGAGCTTAATTATTTTCCTATATAAAAAAGGATACAGACAAGCACTTAAACTTTCCAGTGTGCAAAATGTGCAAGTCAAACCAGTAATTTTTAGGCTGCCACATACAGTTGAGCACAGTAGCCTTTGTGATACAATGTGTGTTAATATCTGTACACCAGAGATAAAATTCTAGATTGCCCTTTGTATTTTGATAAACTCACTTCTGACCCTTTATCTTGTAGTTAAAAGATATTTCATTTTCTTTCTCTTCTTTGTATAGATGGAAGGAAGCAGACATAGACTTCTGAGCTTTTTAAGCTGAGAGAAAATAGAATAATTCAGGAACAGACTGCCAACCAGGATATGGGGCAAAGTCCCCTATCTTTTCCCCTCAGTGATACAGGCTGATAGGGTATAAGCAGCAGCCTTTCTTTATTGTTACCTTTCTAGTATATGATTTCAAATTATAGTGGTGTGCAACAGAAGTCTGTGTAGTGATGCAGCAAAGATTTTACGGTTTTTTGGTTTTTTTTTTCCTTCCACAGGTATCAAACATGATGGGACTATGTGTGATACTTGTCGACAGCAGCCTATCATTGGCATCCGATGGAAATGTGCTGAATGCACCAATTATGACTTGTGCACAGTTTGCTATCACGGGGACAAGCATCACTTGAGGCATCGTTTTTACAGAATTACCACACCGGGAAGTGAAAGGTAAAACCTAACTTTTTCCTTGTGAAATCAAGTAGAAACAGGTATTTGTAGTTAACTTTGAAACTGGACATTTAGTTACTGAAATTTGGATTATGTAAGAGAAGTGCCTTGAGGTTAGATTGTGTTTCTGGGAGACGGCTAGCTAGGAGAAGTCTTGGAAAACATGGAAGTTTTAGGAAGAACGAACAGAGTACAGAAGAAGGTTAGGATATGATTATTCAGTTTTGCTTAATCTCCTTGAGGCTTTCCTAGGTTTTGTGTTCTCATATTTAAAACATAGGCAATTACCTTTATACTATGTGTAATCACAGAAAGATTTATCGATGAATTCTGAATTTGAAGGTTGAATTAGGTTCAGTAATGGTGTGGACAGACTGAGGAAATATACCTACCCTCCTTGAAGGTTATGGAAAACAGAATGATTGGGGAATAAAACCTTGGACTTGGACTGCTTAAACTGCTTACTACAGGAAACAGAGAAAAAATGCTATGAAGAGTTGTTCTACTCTTGCCTTAGTTTTCATATTCTTAAGCATCTATTTTTATCTCTCAGTGGAGAACTCTGAACAAAATTGCATTTAGTGTGTTCTTTTATAGGTGTTCTTGACTTTAAATAACTTGTCTCAGTCCAAAGCCCCTCTGTGTCATGATTTATCTACCAGTTAAGTGAGAACAGTGATACTTGCCTGCTGCTAAATACTTGGAAAGCTATGGAAAAACACTGTGTAAAGGCTATACACTGTGGTGTCACCTCTGTGATGTTTCCTGAATGATCTTTCATTAAATCATCAAAGTATTTTTTTTCTTCATATGGTGCTCATTTGAATGTAATGCATAAGACAACATTTATATCTTCTTGGAGAAGTTAGGTTTAGTTAAAGAATGTTTTCTATTTATTTGTTTTTTGAAGTCGTGTTGCTTTTGAGAATGCTTGCCAGAATTTTTTTTCTTTCTTAGGCTGACATTTCCTTTGCAGTTTTAAGAGGTTGGTTATGGTAAATACAGCACAAGTTTTAGTTTTGAAGATAGATTGTACACTGTGTAAAATATTGCTGGAATTTTTTTGCATCTTTTCACTTTCTTCCTTTCTTTGTTTACTCTCACTGAGCTCTTATCTAGAAGGCAGCTTCTTCTGCCAAGGAGCTGTTTCTATTGGATCAAGCTTAGCTGAGAAAAAATTATGGAAGTTAACTGTTTTAGGAAGGAGAAAAGGGCAAAACAGTGCTGTTGAATGTGAAGAATGTCTCACAGGAAAAATAGCAAGAGACATGTAAGAATGTTTTGGTGAAGGGAAGCATAAGCTCATATATTTTATTTTTGGGTCTGGGATATTGTATGGGTGGCATAATGAAGTAATGTACATAGGTTTTTGTCTCAGTTTTTTAGGTATTGAGTACTTCTTAAGAAGCTTCTCTAAACAAGATTACTATGTGTTTTTGATAACTTTTATTTTTCTTAGGGAAAAAAAAATGCCAGTGTTTCCATGTGCTCTTTGCATTGATTGTAACAGTTGAACTTTTTCCTTGTGTGCCATCTGCTGGATGTTAAAAGTTAGCAGGATGCTGAGAAATTTCCTGAAGTGGTCAGGAAACATCCCAAATGTCAGCTGAAAAATTCTTTTGTCTGGCAACATGTTCCTGGTATGAAGTAAAAAGCCTTGTTGTGTGAAAATTGGTGGCTTTTGAGATGATTATTTCTATTTCTAGTTAAATAATCATGTACTGTTCTGTTTAGGCTTATCTACTTCAGTCTCCCATTGAAGTCAGAAGGAAAAGGTTTGCTTTAAAAAAAAGCATATAATATGACTGAAAAATGGATGCTACTATATTGACTTAAATTTGCTAAGACATGTGATAAAAATGTGTAGAAAAACTGAGGGAGGAGGGAGAAGAGTTGCTCTTAATATTGTAATTCTGAATAAAAGTGACAAGGCAGTTGTGGGACAGAAGTATTGCCTTAGAGTGCATCGAAGAGAAGCAGAAATGTGTTTGTATAGCTCTTCTTGTCCTTTAATGATTTTAATAATATAAGTACAGATCTATATGCAGGTGTTTACAAGATGAATGCTGGTAGTAGGAAGTCTTGAGAAAAATTGTTAGAATTTAAAAAACTAATTACCAACATTCATTAAATCAGATTTTGGAAGCTTGTGCGCTCTTCTGTACTGCTTGTGTGATTCATGCATTGAAATCTGCAGTTGTCTGTTATTTTTGTTTTAAGATGCTCTCCTTCCCATCCCCAAATAGTTGTTTTGGACTTCCTTTATTATGTTGACATTTGTGGGTTCTTCTTTTAATAACTTCAGGGTATTGTTGGAGTCTCGACGTAAATCAAAGAAAATTACAGCAAGAGGAATCTTTGCAGGTGCCAGGGTGGTGCGAGGAGTTGACTGGCAATGGGAAGATCAAGATGGTGGCAATGGGCGTAGAGGAAAGGTAAAAATAAAACTGGTTTAAATAAGAAGCTCTTTTTGCTCATGTAATGGCTTCAGTGGCCTTTTTAATTTTAGAGCAAGAGTACAATCATGAAAGCTCCCGTTTTAATTGTCTGGGCACTTTTAAATCTTATTTCGTAATACTTAAGCATTTAGAAAGAGGAGGGGGTGTACACTATAGCCAATTCTTTTACATTTTAATTGGTCTTTTTTACAATATCAGCACAGAATTTTTTTAATTATTAATTTTTTGTCATGGCTGTCTGTTTAAGATTGCTGTGTAGCAACAGCAAGATCTCGAGCATATTTCAGTTTTACTAGAGAGCTGGTATAAAATCAGAGCTGTCAAGAGTACCCCTTTCTAGTCATCACTGTATTCTGTAATCTTGCTGCTTGTTGGCCAGCACATTTGTGTATCTCTTGCTCTTGGTTTTCAGTGCTGGCACCCTAGGGTTTTGTTTCTCACATAATGATTACAGGGAGTTTCCAGTTAAAAATTAAAAAGCTGTGCAAGTTTTGGGTGTGGCTATTATGTTACTGGTTTAGGACAGTCTAGGAGTGCTTGTGATGCAGTGCTATGGTAAAAATACTTGTATGGGATGATAAGTTAGTAATTGTAACATCTCTTTATTTTACTTTTGCAACTTCCATTTACCTTGCGAACTAATGAAGATTTGTTCTAAGTATGAATATACAACAGGCAGTGTAAAATACACTATGACTTGCCCTTATATCTTGGTGACCTGGTGTTTTTTGTTGAATTTATTTTTAATACACTTAAACAGCATTTAAAGGAGAGTGAAAAGTTCCTGACTGATATTTAGCCTATTTTATATTTTTGTTTAGCTTCTTTTATATCCTAGCCATTTATGGAAGCCTTAGGATTTCTGGGGATTTCATGTTGAATTTTACTGAAAGGAAATAGTAAGTTTAAATCTCTTAAAGCAAGGGATATTTAAATACAGCTTTTTTCATCTTGATTATTTACCGCTTCCCATGTCAAGATATACTGAAATCTCTGAAACTTTGCAAAGTAAGAGTCCTGTCCTGCACAGTCTGCTTTGTGTACTAAATTTGTATTAGAGAGATTTTTACCTGTACATCTGAAAATGCATATAAATGCATATAAATGTTTTTAAATGTGGAAAGGTAGGTCCCAGATAGCAGAAACATTATTTAAATAAATATAAATAAGAATGAAAGCAAATTCTGAAAACTTTTTTTTTCTTTTTTTTTTTTTTTTAAATAATGAAAGTGTTTTCAGAATTCGGTGCATGGCCTCCTCATTTCAGAAATGTCAGGGAAAGACATTTTCACTCTACTTTTGTACTATTGTTAAACATATTTGCTCTGGAAATAAAACTGTCTCTTAACATAGTGCACAGCCACCAGGCTAATGCAAGTTAAACCAGACATATTTAAGCTATTAGAATAGTCTTCATCCTGTTTCTCTTAGTTAAATGCTGCTTCTGGTAAGAATATAGTTCAGATTTTGTTCTCTGCATCTGTAGTTAGATAACCTCCAAATAGATAAAAGAAAAATAGGCCTACAAAGTATATATTCAGACTGCTGTCTTAACACGCCCAGGGAACACTTGCCTCAAGCAGAAACCAGCTTCAGATGAAATTTTATCAAGTTTAGTAAAACTACAATATCATTAATTATTTTGAAGAGACGAGTAAATTTTTTAGTTCAATTTGTGCTTCTGAATCTTTGCTCGAGAAACCATTTTCTTATTCTCACAACTGAATAGGTAACTGAAATCCAAGATTGGAGTGCGTCGAGTCCACATAGCGCAGCATATGTTCTTTGGGACAATGGTGCTAAAAATCTTTACAGAGTTGGATTTGAGGGCATGGTAAGTATAAAAGAATACAAAGGGTAAAATGCATGATGGGGGAAGGGCAGTAAGAATAACTTGTGCTTTATGGTCCTGCTTTTGTAATATGCTTTGTCAGTTAGCATGCTGGTAGCCAGGTCATTGTGAATCCAGCTGTAAGGGTCATGCATATGTATTAGTAAGAAAGTCTGATCTGGGAATTTATTAAATGTGGATAACTACAAGTTAAGAGCTGCTTTCTGCCACAGTAAATATTTGCATCACACACATTTATCTTTCTGTGCTACTGTGGTGTTTAGACTAAAATTCAGAAAAGAACAGCAAGTGTAGTTATAAACTTTTTTAAAAAACTCTGTTCTTCAACTCCTGAATTCTTCAGTTGACTTCAAATTTTGGTGTGATTTTGCTGCAAGATCTGCAGTTTTTAAATTACTGTCAGTGCTTGGAATGCTATTGAGAGCAATTTTATTTTTGCAAATGGAAAGGTGTTGAATTAAACTACGACCTTAATTTGCTTTAGTGCTAAATTTTTCTGTTTCCTTTTGAAGTTTCTCCAGCAACTTTACTTCAGCTTTAGAGAGAAAATGGGTCAGACTCTAGCCTAAGTGCCTTCTGTTGCTGGGTTTTCTTATCCTAATGTGGGTCAAGGAAAGGTTACTTTGATTATCAGCTGCTTAAAACATCTTAATTAGCATTTTCTCTGCATGATTTTTGTTTGATTCTGCAGGGGAAAACCATGTTAATTTAACATTGAAGTGTCATCTTGTCAGATGTGTAACAGTAATAAAATGTTAAACAATGACCAGTTACTTTCTTGAATGTAAACTATTTGATCTTACAGCCTTGCTTACTTACAGTTTATTTTCATACTTAAAATGAAAGTAAATATCACTTTTGTGGGAAATACATATTTTAGTGTTACATTTAAAAAGAGTAAAATAATTTAGTTCAGGTCAGCTTTTCTGATGCATTAAGATCCTAGAGGTAAAACATGAGTCAGTATTAAATTATGTGCTTCATGGTGTCCCCCAGTTCTAAAGAAAAACCTTTATATGCTGGCAAAAATGAATGTATATGGTATTTTGTAGTATAACATTGATTTAATGTTTGGAGTCTTCTCTCTTGTGATACATGGAAAAGTAATGGTCACAAAATCTAGATAGAATGAGATACAGATCAACTTATTTTTTTGTTTTTCTGGTTGTTTTGATTTCAGTTGCTATGTTAAAATTTTTTAACTGCATAGTAAAAGTGCTGTGGAATCATTGAAGATTCCTTCTGGTCTCATGAAAAAAGTACATTTGGGATAAGTTATATTATGCTTTGAAATAGTTATTCCCTTAATAAAAATTATTATTTTTAAATCAACTACATTGTGTTTCCAAAGTTAAGTCACCTTTCAAAGTGTTAAATATTTCTAGTAAACTCCATTAAGTACTTCAACTGTAAAATTGAAGGGGTGATGGTGACCCTTCTCATAAGTTCTGTAGAAATAAAAATATTTGGTCAGTTAAAATAAGCCTGTTTAACTGTGTGTGAGACTACGTATATAGATGTTTTTAGGATAATAGAGAAAAAATATGTACATGTGGATGTTCAGAAAGGATAATTGGAGGTTGTGTAAGTAGTGCTTACCTGATTGTAATCCATTCCTACATGAATTTTATCTTCAGTGTTTTCAAAAAATGCAATTTTCACTTCAGACAGAATGGATTATTGGATATCTATGAGTCATTTGAATGTAATACTTAATTTTATAACTGATTAGTAATTTAAGTGAACAATTCATTATTATTGTTTACTACTATTTATGTGTTATGTAAAGCTGAGACTGTCAGAAAGATCACGTAAATTTGGGGTAAACTTGTTTTAGTACTTGGGAATTGGTTTGAAAGGTCCAGAGAATGTGGAATCAACAATACTCAAGAGTGTGTAGCCATGTAAATACAGCTGGGAAGAGACCCTGACTTGCAAATGGGTAACACTTGACTCATGCTAATGGAGCTGATTAAAGAAATACAGCTCATTATTGTAAGTCAGTGTTCGTGTTTGATAGCTGATAGACTGCATCTGGTCCTCAAAATTAATCTATCTGGCCTGCCAGCTTTGGAGAGATGAGGTTTGGCTGGTGGGGCAGCAGGTGCTGACTGAAAACATGCATTTATTTCTGGCCAGATACTTGGAAGTTTTATTTGTGTTTGCTGTGTTTACATATGAAGTGGCTGAGAAGTGCATCTCGCCTCTTGTGGTGTTTTTGTTGGGTTTTTTTTTTTTTTTTTTTTTTTTTTTTTTGTGAAGTCTGGGAGTTTCTGTTGCCACAGGCCACAAATTCCTGAATTGAAATACGTGTTTGTAATGTTGTTAGGTCAGATAAAATGTTTGCTACATCCTTAGTAAGAATGACCTACTGTTGGCTTATATGGTTCATTATGCTACTCACATTTCTTACTTATATGTATTCAGAGTCCTGAGCTGTTAACCAAATAAACCCCTTAGGGCATTTTTTAATTTCTCAAAATGTGTGAACATATCCTTTTGTAACAAAGAGAGGTCATATGGAATTAAAAAGTTAATGGGAAGATTGTGATTTTGCTTTTGGGACTTGTGTCTGGATTTTATTTCTTCATACCACGTGAGCTGAGGATGTAAAGCTGGTGACTTGCCTTGGTTTTCAGTGGAAAGTATTTCCATCTACAGGAGTGTCCTAAATCAATTTCATCATTTAGGAATCTGTTTCTTTCAGAATTCCATTTCTCTGTACCACTTGCCTTTTTTGCTGCAATTAGCCTCTCCTAGTTTCCTGTTTTGGATGATTGTGCTTTCATCTGTGTAGCCTCTGAAAGAAGTATCTGTAGTTATCATTGTCACAGTGATATGTAAGCTGTCTGTGTTGGTATACTTTTTTCCACAAATTCCAAATAGTGAGTGCATAAGGGAAGTTGAGATTGCTTGCCTCTAGGTGATTGATAATTAATGTCTATTCATCAACTTTTATTTGGATTACCCATGAAGTTGTTATTTGAACTTGTTCTAGAAAATTTTAAGAATTTCTTGTTACCACTTTTTTTTTTAATAAAAGCAAGGTAAATATTTTTGTATACTAGGCATTGTGAGTGTTAAAAAATATTCACCTTACATTGTAGTTAAAACTGGCAGCTCTGTAATGTCAGTCAAATCTTCAGTTCTCTGGTAATTTATCTTGTGCATTTATATGCATTTGTCAGCAGACTTCATTTTGCTTCTTTTTCATGTATCCACGTTTCTCCTGTAGTCTCAACCAAGTCAAGTTTTTAATCTTTGTGTTGCGAAGAAAAATATTTCCATTAAGCAGAAATGTATTTCCTGATCATTTTCCAATTTTATTTATACTATTAACTGACAAGGAAAACTATCTTCCTTTAAAAAAAAAGTTACAAATGCAAAGCTTTGATAAGTGCCTATAATAAATAGTATGGTTGCAAACCATTTACTCAGGATTTGCCTGAGGTCTGGTTTCCTCTGTAAGAAACTGTTGTTATTGTTTCTGTGCCTCACACCTCTTTGTCATTTCAGTCACTTTCTCAACCATCATCTACCTTCTCTATTGCTTCACTTTTCCCAGCTTCTTGAAACTGAGAAGGATTTGATTTCATGAAATTTGAAACATGGCATTTCTTACAAACCTTTAGTTAAAACGTACGGATTTATCCAGTCTCTTGTTGCCTTAATCTGGTGACGAAGCAGCATGCGCTGAACTTTTTCCATTTGCCTCCAAAGGGCTGGTTTCCTTCCCAAAAGCTGTTGTGAGTTTAAAGACTTAAAGTGACCTTTACTATTGTGTATTCAGTGCTACCTTGAGCAACTGCAGCTATGGCACTATTTCTACTGGTGTTTCTGTAAGATCAGTACTAATTTCTCCCCTGATATTTGCTGCTGATTTTAGATGCTGCATCAGTGCATCTGGATCAAACATGCCTCTTTTTCTCAGCAGCAGAGCTAGTTTTCTTACCAAATCTGTAGAGCTTCCCTCCCTGGTATTGATGGATGGCATTTCATATTGAGTGTAATAACTTAATAGTTATTTATTTCTGTAGTCAGCTGCTCGTTCAGCTTTGTTTTCCTCCTCAAGGTCAGGGATAATGGTACTTTTACACCATCTGGCAGCACTGCTGACTTTGCTCTACATTTTCTCTCATTCTCTGAAGTTTTATGAAGATGAAAATGATGCTGTTGGATAGTATGTCAAAGTACATATACTATATTTCCTATTTGACTCGGCAAGTCATGATCTCTATGTAATACAATCACATATTGCTGGAATGCAGATTTTGAGGAAGTTAAAGGTATGGGTGTTAGAAGTTCAAAGTTCTCCATAGTAGGCAAAGACCATTTGCCATTATGTAAAGCCTATACAACAACCATTATTACCCATTGCTCATGTGCATCAGCTGTTACTACTGACCAGCAAGTTGTGCTGTGCAATGTCTGATTTGCATACTTTTCCTTGAGTTCTCATTGATTGCCTGCTTACCTGGGCTTTCTATCTCTAATTGTACATAAATTCTACAATATTTAGTTAGATCAGACTCTCGTTTTATTCTTTAACAATACAACATTGACTACATCATGTAAGAGGAAAGAAGACAGTTGTGAAGCTGAGGTTGGACAACAATCTACCACTTAGTCTTTCAACCAAGTATATCATTATACTCCAGAAATAAACTGTGTGCAGGTCACAGTGCAGGCAGGGTAAAATACAAGTGCAGGTTTCTGAGTTTTGGGGTTTTTTCTATAAAATGTAGGCTACTGTAACAGGCTTTTTAGTAATGTCAGCTGCAAAATGGTAATTAGCCTTTTAATTAGCATTTTGTTTCTTCTGTTAGGTTTTAGCCATCAGTCTGCTTAGTGCATTGACACTTCTTGTAACACAATCAATCTTTCACCCTGATTTTGCCTTGCAGGGAGGAGAGCCTTTGGACTCTCCTAGGCTTTATTCTTAGTGTTCTGAAGAATGTGACAGCAGCTCTTGCATGTGCATCCCTCCTTGTCCCCTTCACAGACAGCTGGTTGTTGCCTGACACGAGGGCTTGTATTCAGTGGGTGAGACGCAGTGCTCCCGGGCACATTCCCTCTCCCTCGTTCCGGGGAATGAATGAGTTTGCCATCTGGGACGGTCGGCGCAGCCCCTTTGTCTGCGGCTAAACCCGGCACCTGCCCACCGGGTGGCAGCATCCTGTCGCAGGCCTGATACTGCTGTGCTGAACACGCTCTTTCTCTACTTTCTCAGGGCATTTGAAGAGAGGCTAAAATCTCATTGTTTTCCTCTGGCTGTCTTCATCATTTTTCCAAAGTGACAGTACATTCTTCATAGATCAGGACATACACTGAATTTTGTGTTTTTTCTGGTTGCCAGTTGTCAAGGTTGGTATTGTGCTCATTCAAGCCTTGATGATTCGGAAGAGTGCAGAGTTTTCATTTTAATCCTTCTGCAGGAGGACAGTTTGTCAGTAAATCTCGCGCAGGGTAAAAGAATTGTTCAAGTACTTACTTAGTTGTGGTTAATGATATCATTACCACCACCTGTCCCCTACTTCCTCCCCCATGCCATAGAATATTCTGACACATTTTGCAGTTTCTGATTTCCTTCCCAACTTATTTTGCACACAAAAATGTCCTTTGTTCAGTGAGAATTGTTTCATAAGGAACAGTGGCAGATGATAGCTATTTTGGAATTAAGCATTACACATAAAGGAAAGAAGAATTATAGAAAATCCTCTGGCTTTATGAATAGGAGTTGGTTACCACACTTAGTTTCTCATAATATGAAACACTTTTATGAAGGATGAGCTTTTAAGCTTTTCTCTTTAAAAAGAACATGTTTAGCTCAGTGTCGTATTTTGTAGGGTTTTTTAAAGTAATACTCTTCTGCATATTCTTAATTGAAAAGTTTTCATTGCATAGAATCTGAGTGACATGTTTTATTCCAAGATAAACATGGATCTGTCCAAAAATGTTAGGAAGAGTAGACAGCAGTGGCAGGCACTAAGAGATGTTTCCTTACTTGTGTTCACAGAATTCTTTTTTAAAAGGAAAAATAACTTAATAGAACAAGGCAAAGGTGCTTTGTGTTAGTTCCTGTCTTTAAAATAAAAAATTCTCATCCTTTATAGCCTCTTAGATTTATAAACGTTATTGAGAATGTCAAGGCTGAATGATTGGAAAGTATTTGAGATTATGTGCATCATGTGACATGTTTTTTGTATGCATAATTTTTAGCCTTTCTTAATTAATATTTCAGTTCTGGTTTCACTGACCTGGAGACTCAGTCACTGAGCACTAAAGTTTTCTCAAATCTCTTTCTGTAGTCTGACCTGAAATGTGTTCAAGATGCAAAAGGAGGCTCATTCTACAGAGACCATTGTCCTGTGTTAGGTAAGCTGAAGTAAATTCGTGTTGATTTGCATTTGGTATCAGTGTGCCAAGGGGATGGCAAGGGAGCTTTTAAGTGTTCATTAAGTTATAAATTGTGTTGTGTGTCCTGTGCAGTGTATTTCTAAAAAGCCAAACATAGCTGTTCATTCTTAGAGAATTGGCTTAAATATTAAGAGATATAATAAATCTAACTCCTTGCACAAAAGCACTGTAGTTTGATTGACACCAGAGCTTTTATGTGCCAGATATCTAACACCATATGATAGCTTTTAAGATCCCAATTAGAGCCCATAGTGGAACTTGTCACAATTATTTAGCATATGCCAGTGTCACTGCTATTTCCCTTGAAAACTCAACAAGAAGCACACAGTTCTGTTGCCAGAAGTTCCAAAGTTTCTTTACCTGTTAGCCCCTGTGGTTGCAGAGGCATTGGTGTGGTGTCACCATCCCTGGAAGTGTTGAAAACACGATGATAGCGTACTTGGAACAGAGTTCAATGTGAACATGGTGGTGGTGCTTAGTTGGTTATTGGACTTGAAAATCTCAAAGGTCTTTTCCAACCTTAACAATTCTATGATTCTTAACTTCAATTCTTTAAATTTCTTGGAAAATTAGTATGGTGATGTAAACTTTTTTTTTTCCCTTACTCCCTTTCAGGTGAGCAAAATGGTAACAGAAACCCTGGTGGGCTACAAATAGGTGACCTTGTAAACATTGACCTCGACTTGGAAATTGTGCAATCTTTGCAGCATGGTCATGGAGGATGGACTGATGGCATGTTTGAAACTTTAACAACAACTGGAACAGTTTGTGGCATCGATGAGGACCATGACATTGTAGTACAATATCCAAGTGGCAACAGGTTTGTTCTATATCCTTTATCATTGCTTCTCACAAACTTCCCTTGCCTTCAGTGCTTGTGATTACTTGGTGCCAGAAGCTTTCTCTTCTCCTTTTGTGTCTGTTAAGATTTCCTTCTAGATGTGTAATGAGGACTTAACTTCTAGGATGCTTTAGCAGGAAAAGGAATTCTGCTGCCTCTCATTTGTGAAAATTTGAGTCCAAATGAATAAATTATGTTCTAGACTATCTTATTTGCAAAATGCAGCGTTTTAAGCAATAACTTCCTTTTTAATTAAAACTATCTATCCCATGGTTTCAAGGGGCAAGGTAATAGCAGTTCATTGTGGGTTTTCAGAAAAATAGTTTAAGAAGACAGGTGACAAATTTCGGGGAGGGGGGTCTTTTCTAAACTACAGTTACTTTTATTCAAAGGAATTATTTCTTTATTGTTCAAAGGAATGTTCGTTTATGTAAAATACAGACCAAGAACAGGAGGTATTGGGGAAGCCAAAACCACTCCCTGCAAGCAGTTCAGGTTTGAATTTTGCTTAGCTGCATCCATGTTAATAAGACTCAAACCCAGCAGTACAGCATGGCCACATGGTTTTTTGTTTTCTTGCTCTCAAGTATTTGGCTTATCTTTAAAAAGTAGCAGCTGAATGGAATATCATTTCAGTTGTATATGGAGTTTGACCTTTTCAGTTCATCCAGAAAGAATTAACAGTGTACTGTTCATTCAGGATATCCCTCAAGATACTTCTGCTAATACTGCAAAGTAATCAGAACAAAGCTGTTTTCCCAGTTAAATGGATGCAAGTGGCTTTTCTTCTGGCAGTCATGTCAGCAGAGTCAGTGACAGGAGCTGCTCTGTCTTTTGGTCTCCTCCCTGACTAAACAGCTAAATGCCTTTAAATCAGTAAAATTCAAACTACCAATGGGATACTTTTATTGAAAATTGAGGTATATCTGGGACATCTATTTAATTGAAAAATACTGTTATAACTTAATGTTGCATCTTTTGACTTGGGGGAAAGGGCCAAAATTCTGTCTTCTTCCTGTGTTATTTCCTGACCGTTCAGTCATAGAGGCAACTTGGATCTGCTGCTTTTCAGCTGGTTATTTCCTATCCCTGGAAAAATAATGCAACCATATAGCTACTTTCAGGACTTTTACATTCAGGTAATTTTTAAACATACATTTTGCTTTGTGTGTTTAATACCTACTTTAAATGATTCATTGTTTAGGTGGACATTTAATCCAGCTGTTCTCACCAAGGCCAACGTTGTCCGAAGTGGAGATGCTGCTCAAGGTGCAGAAGGAGGTACCTCTCAATTTCAAGTGGGTGACCTCGTTCAAGTATGTTATGACCTGGAGCGAATCAAGCTTCTCCAGAGAGGTCATGGAGAGTGGGCTGAGGCAATGCTTCCAGTGAGTAGCTGTGTATTGCATTCATAGAATGTTCAAGCTTGTACAGTATTTCTAGTTATTACTGGTAATGTACCTGGAGGCTGCAGCAGTCTAAAAGGGATTTTCTTTTTAAGCTTTCATCAGACGCAGTGTAATAGTTCCTCAGCTGCAGCAATCTGCTTATCAAATGAAACCTATGTAAAGATAGTAGTGATTATGTTGTTAAATAATGGACTTAATAAAATTTATATAATATTAAAAACAAAATACTTGGAAATTGGAATGTTTTATTTGCATTTGATGTTTTCTTTAATTCAGACTTTAGGTAAAGTTGGTCGGGTTCAGCAGATCTATTCAGACAGTGACTTAAAGGTAGAGGTTTGTGGGACGTCTTGGACCTATAATCCAGCAGCTGTCTCAAAGGTGGCATCTGCAGGATCTGCTATAAGTAATGCATCTGGTGGTAAGTTTGAAGAAAACTAGTAATATTGCCATGTGTATGGCAAGTAATTGTGTTAATTTAAAAACTGTTATTGGGTATTAATACATTGTGTGTGTGCAAGGTTAATAATAGCTTTGGAGTTTGGGTAATTGAAGTTTTATGTGAGAAAGATTGGAAGAAAAGCTTGCAGTCAATATGGAGATGTTATATTGATCAGGTGCTTCTGTTTGGTCACAGTGCAGGTGTGTCTTCAGAGGTCTACTCTAAGGACTTCAAAATGGTTGGAATGGACATCAGATTGAAATAGGGACTGAGGCATGCAGTAACAAGCAGCCTCCTTGTTTAATAGGTGGTTTAAGATAGCATGCACAGGCAAAGGATCTGTTGCAGGTGGTTATTATAACTCAGGATATTTTTTTTTTAAGTTTCTGTCTTAAAATTTAGTCAGACATCCTGTGACTAATTGCAGTGGGATTTTTTGCTGTCTATGTAATCAGACTTCAGTTTTGTTGAACATGCTGTCATTCATACAATAACAAGGCAGAAAGACTGTCCAGTTTGTTTTGGTGTTCTGTTGGCACTTTTCAATTGAAACTAGAATTTTTCCTTTTTTTAGTCATAGCTAGTTACTCTTTCCTCTTCACATACTTGCTTTAATGCCAAGAAAACTTTCTAAATAGTTTTCTAGATTTTTTCCTAAGGAGGCATAGATGCAGTGAGTTTTCTCAATAAAGAACCAAGTACAGTGGCCATAAAACTATCTAGAAGAGTAATACAACTTAAGTGTTTCAAGTCACAGAAGACAGGCTATACCTAATGTTAGAAAGTCTGTAATAGCAATACATAAGTTCATGTTTTTACCTTGTCCTGCCCTTTTGTATTTTGTAAAGAAATACAAGAAAAAGAAAAGCTATTTGAGCTATTTGTGGTGCAACCAGCTTTGTTCTGACGTGTCTAATGTGGCAATCTCCATCGTCTAAAGGGTACGAGGGCGCAGCTCTTATTTCAAACTCGGTCATTTTACAGCTGCTATTTTATGGTAGTTTGTGTATTACTATGTACATGGCCTTAGAAACAAAACAAATGTAACTGGGTTTTTTTTCTGTTCTTGTGTAATTAGAATTGTAATCTTAGTTGTCCTTTGGTTAACAATTACAGAGAGATTGTCCCAGCTATTGAAAAAATTATTTGAAACCCAAGAATCTGGAGATCTCAATGAAGAATTAGTTAAAGCTGCTGCCAATGGAGACGTTGCTAAAGTGGAAGACTTGCTAAAGAGGCCAGATGTAGATGTGAGTGTTATGTTTTGGGGGTATCTCTTTTGGGGGGCCTCTAGTACTAAAAGAAGTGCAGCTGTTCTGAGTACTCCTTGCCAGTTGGTAGTGTCTTCTTAGAAGTAATACAGCTAATTCCACTGTCTCTTCTCCCATTTGTTGTCCTGTGAAATATGTGTGGGCTGTGCGAACACAGAGCTGTACATAGTTTCTTGCTGGATAGATCTTTTGTCTGCCATCAATTAAGAAACTTTTGAACCGCTGGCTGCCAGAGTTGCTGCAGAGTACCAAATGTTCACAATTACTGAAGGGTCTTCAAATTCTTCTTTTTTCAGGGGGGATAGAGAAAGGAGGGTAGTTTTTTCTGGATGTTTTTACTGTTGTTGTGAGTTTGTTTTGTTTTATTAACTCACAGAGTAAATAATCTAATCTGTTCTCTGTCACATTTCTTTTACCAACTTGTCTGATACTGAGAAGTCTAAAGGAAAATGCTTTGTAATTATAGGAGTTTGTTTAGGGAATGTATTTTAAAGTTACAGTCTTTCTCACTACATCAGTAGTAATGCTTGCAGATAGGAGTCTGAACTTCTTTGGTTCTGAGCACCGATTTTTAGCTTAAGATTTTAAAAAACATGGGGTTTTGTTCAGACTCTCCTGTTGCCATAAATTTGGCAAGGAAGTTACATATAAATCTGAGACTTGTTCTCAAAAATCTTTCCGGGAATTACCCAAATATGAATGTTTTTAATTCATGTATCATTAATGTCTTATGTTTGATGAAAATCCATTTCTTCATTTTTCCTTCAGTCTAGCTAATACAGAAATGAAATAGAGAAGCCTCAGGTGATCTATATATGCTAAGAAGACATATTAAAATTGTTCATTTGATTCTGTATTGTGTTTGCTGTTGCTTTAAGTTTTCTACTAGTAAACAGCCTCACAGGTGCATGTGTGTGTGTCTTGAAACTCACCTTCAAGTGTTGGCATTCCAGGTGAATGGGCAATGTGCTGGACACACAGCTATGCAAGCTGCAAGCCAGAATGGCCATGTTGACATTTTGAAGTTGCTTCTGAAACAGAATGTGGATGTAGAAGCAGAGGTAACCTAAAAATTTCAAAATATGCTTTGCGTGTCCTTAAACTTTTTTACATGCATAACAATTCTACTCAACTTGCCTTCTTTTTTAAATGTCGGAGTGTGTGATTGTGTACCCAAATTAGACTCCTGCTAACAGTATTATAAAGAGTTAATATCTAATACTTTAACACTTCTTATTAAATGAAATATAGCTACTAACAGGATAGAGCTATGTAAGCCCGTATGCAATGAAGCCCCTTCTTTCTTTCCTTTGGTTTCATTTCAACAGTAGAATGCAATGGGAACTCTGCCTGTGGCATTGAGGGGAAAAAGATGTTGTCAGATGCTGCATCTCTAAGTTCAGAGGCTTGCCATGCTTCTTAAATAAACAAAGATCAGTTAGGAGAAATCTTTCAGTTCTTAACTAAAACAAATCTAAGCGGACAGTAGTAGCAGTATCTTTGGGTAGAAACTGCCAGCTCTGTGTCCAGTTTTTTCAGTGTCTTTTATTTAAATGTCACTAAAAACAGAAGGGTGTCTCTTGTTTAGGATTTTTTGGAATAATGTTCATGACAATTATCTATCAGCATGCTGTGATATTTGCATTTTGAATTGATTTTTACTCAATTACTTACACAGAACGCACTGATACTGCAACCATTTCTCATTTTGCACAAGGCAAGAGACACAAGAAGGATCTGTCAAATTTGATGTATTAAGAATAAAAACTGAAGACTAGGGGGATGCTGAGAAATTAACTGTGCACCCGGTTGTTGGTTGCATAGCAGAAGAATAGCTTCACATGCTGGGGTGTCTAGCATTATATTGTATTTGATATACAGAAGTTACAGAATGTTAAAACATTAATGAGGCAATGTAATTCTTGGAATTAAAATTATTTTATATTTACAGATACACCATTAATTTAGAAAACTTTCATGCTAGCTTAGATTGATACAATACATACTTTCTGATTTCTGTGAAATAACTTCATGTTAGAAGTAGTGCTTTCACTGCACTACAAAGTTAAATACTGTTAAAATTAGCCTAAACCTGCTTTTTGTCTAAACTGGTGTTCAGAGCTGCCATGTTAATTAAGTGGTGGACTGAAGGGAGGGTTAGAAGCATTAAAGAGATAGGTAGAAGCACTACTTAAACAGTTTGAAGGCAATACACCTGGTAATGTGCTAGCACTAGAATTGTGAAGAGTTCATGTCTGCTCAGGCTTCAGAAGCACCATTACACTAGCATAAAAAAAAATTGTCAGGGATTTTATTTGACTTTTAAAGCCATCTTCACATAACTCTGTTGCTGAAGTGAAGATGGTATTTCCATTTGATTATATAATTGCCTTGGTTATAATATTAATAATTTTAATAATATTATTAGATTTGTAGTTATATCTTTCAGACTATAAAAATGTAAGCTATCAATACTTATATATATATATATATATATATATATATATATATATAATATTTATAAACATAATTGTTTATAAAATGCAAAGGTTCAGCAGAGCCATCCCATTAAGCACATAGCAAAAATGTAGTCCATTTACTTCACTGTTGTGGCCTGTTACTTTATAGCTAAGTTGGATGTTTTTACACTTACAGTCATTTCTTCAGAGTTTATAAGTTAATTATGACATTTTATGGGAATATCCTTATTGTTGTCTCCTGTGTTTTTCTCTGATATCTTAATGCAGTCTGCAAGTGGCCTCTGTTTAGTCAGAGAACAGTTGGCTATAGGCATAGCTCAAAAAACCTGATGTAGCTATTGCATGGTAAGAATATGTAACCTTCTAGGCTGAAGACATTAATGGTTGTCAGTTATTAACAGTATTATAACAGTATTATACTGTTGGCATGTATAGAAATGTAGTCCTTTTAATATTTAGATTTTTATCTAAGTGTAACTGAGTCTTAAGGACAGATTATTTACTAGCTGCTAGCTTTTTTTAGATGAATTATTGCTATATTTAGTTCCTGAGATTATTTGTTTTGATGCTGAGCTAAAAAAAGGGCCTACATGATTTGGACCTCTGCTCATTAAAATAGGAATTCTATACATTAAGACTTGATAAAATCAGGTGGTTGTGTATAAAATTGAAATATGGTAAAACTAAAACATTCAGTAATTATGGAGTTTCATCCATAAATATCTTGGTGTACTCTTCAGACTGCAAATATGAAAAGACAAATTACCATGCCTCTGTGAAACCAAGTGCTCTGTAAATACAAGTCTTGTAACAGTTTAGGACTTACTGGCACACTCTTGATAAGGTTTGCCTCATAATGATCCTTATAACCAGATGAAAAATATACAGAAGGTCCCCTTTCTGATCCTTTCCCCTTCCAAATGGACAAGCTTTGGCTTCTTTTGATGGTTGCTTTGTGTTAGATGAATTTGAGTAAGAATCCTGCAATCTGAGAAGGCAACTTGGTAGCGTGAGTTGATTTGGAAGGAATAAAAGTATCTTTTCTAAAGGCTGTTGAAGCTGCTATGTAGTGCCTTGACTTTTATCTTGAAAACTATATCCATATTTTCAAAAAGATACATTTGATAATTAGGGGATAAATCTTCTCCCACCCTTTTAAATGCTGCAACTAGTCTCATTGTGCAAATACAGTTTAGGTTAAGAGCTATTAATTTTTGCGTTAGTCTAAAATGTATTAGAAATGTGCCATATATAATAAAAAATATTTTTGAAAGTTGTTGCTGAAGAAGCAAATTGATGAGAAACCCAAGTTAACTCAGGATAGACAGTGAGCCCTTGATCAGTCATGATTTTATTTTACAATTTTCAGTGTTTCTGTTTTCAAAATTGAATCCTAAAAATGCATATTTATGTTAAACTGTGCAGAAATACTCGGAAACTAGCATATGGAAGTTATTTCATAATGTATAACTTCCTTTTTACTTCTATCTTTTGTATGCTGTCATTAATGTTGAAATCACTTGATTGATATTTTTAAATGTTTCATGTTGTACAGTAAACTTCTATTAATGTTAAAATAGCCTAAACTGACAAATTTAACTTTCACATTTTAATTCTCAATTTGTGTGAAACTGAAACAAACTGAATCAGAGTTTTAACGCTGTGAATCATCAACACAGAATCAGAACTTCTAGTTAATGTCAGCATCAGTCACAAATGTCCTTCATAAAAGGTTTATTAAGTGAAAACCCAGACATATAATAAATCCTAATAAATACTAACTTAGTTGTATGAACAAGGAAATGCTCATGTCTTGCACTATGATTTGGAATCTGTAACACTTCCCAGGTTACCCTGGATATTAAATGGATATTAACTACCCTGGGATATTAAATGTAATACTGTTTGGGCACTGGATTTCTTTTGTGGGTTTTTTTGGTGCTTTTGTTTTGCATTTTTTCTTGACAGTGGTTGTTTTGTAGTAAAGACCCAAATGAAGCCATTTGAGTTTGGTGACCAAACCACACAAAGATTCAGGGCAATAGTTGTATATGCTGTACAATATCATATGTTGTAGAACATGTGTATATATATGTGTATATATATATACACATATACACATTTATATATGAAGTGATTCTTCATCCTCTGTTGCTGTACTTTGACAAATTATTTAATTAGGTATTTTAATGGTAGTCTCATTTTTCTTGCTACATTAAATATGGACAGTTGTTAGTTGAAATAATCTTGTTTAAATGCAAAGGAAATGTGAAATATACCGGGTTAAATGAATGTTTCTACTTCAGGACAAGGATGGAGACAGGGCTGTCCATCATGCAGCCTTTGGTGATGAGGGTGCTGTGATTGAGGTTTTGCACCGAGGCAGTGCAGATTTGAATGCTCGCAACAAGCGCAGGCAGACTCCACTCCATATTGCTGTCAACAAAGGTCATCTGCAAGTTGTCAAGACTTTACTGGACTTCGGCTGCCACCCCAGTCTCCAGGTAGGGAGACATTTTAATGTAGGGTCACTTCTGAGCTACTGAATTGTATGATTTGCTGCATGTGGATGATAGAAAAATTACAGTAAATGGGATTGAAAGGAACAGATATTATAAAGTTGTCTGTCTCAACTTTTACCCCCACCGTGTGATCAACTGTAACAGAAATGCTGTTAAGTCTGTTTTCTTGACAGCTAGATTGACACCTAGTTTATTCTGTAGTTGAGACTAATTGGTATTTTTACAGTCTGTAGTTATTTCTAATTGTTAACTTTCCTTCCTGATTAATTACTCTTATATTGAAACCACAACACTGTACTACTTCTGCAACCTACAGTTAAGAGGGTGATGATACTGTGGAATGTTTTGTTAAAAGAAAACTTTTATTTTTTTCCTAAAATAGATCTATCATTGATAGAACTACTTAGTCAGATTCACTTTCAAATATTCAGCTTTTTATGTAGAAAGCCCTCATGTGTAGGATCCATAATTTCACAGAGAATTTCATCTGTAATGAAGGTGATGGATGCAGTAGCATAAGTGCAATGTCCTTTTTAGAAGGTAGAGGGAAAATGTGCTATCAGATAAGCAGGTATCCACACTGCTGGATGCAGCTGCATGAACTGCATTAGTAAAACCAATGAGAATGGGTAAGTTTGAAGAGATTTGCATCAGAAAGAGCTGTAGTGGCCTGGGCAAATCAAGATATGCAGTAACGAGACATTGCCTTTTTACTTTGCCATGTCAATAATCAGATTTTTTTTAACTGTATCCTCATAAAAGAAGATGAGCAAAAGCTTTTTTGAAATTAATGAGCATAGCGATTGTTTATTTATCTCCTTCTACCTGACTCTTAAGGTATTGTCTTGATCTTGCTGAGGTTGAGCTGTTATATCCATCCAGATCCTGTTTAGTGTTTGTTGAACAGTAGGTATAATAAGGAGTCTGATGTATTGAGACCAATAAAGGGTGACTGTAAGTCACATAGGAACTATGGGTAGCCAAAGTGGATTTGCCTGAGTTCAAATTACAGAATTTTGTTTCAGTTGAAAAGGTCAATAAAATGGTGTAAGGATGCTCCATCTGGAAAATACAATTAGCTATTGAAAAGAAATGATCTTCCAGATTCAGCATATTTGCTGAGGTACTGCGATGTGCAGATGTGAGTAGGTGATTGATTTTGTCAATGACAGCACAGGGGAGTAAGACTGAAGCATGACTGGAATTTAATTGGCCAGCGCTCTACTGCTGTGGCCACTTCACTGTGTAAACAGTAACATATGTTACTCTGTAAATAGGAAATTCAGGAAATATGATAATTTAAACCAAGTCCAAGCTACATGATTTAGTTCTGGCAAATTGGTTCACAGTGGTTCAAGTGTTTCCATATTTTGGCACTTTTTGTTCAGCAAGTTTTGATTCTCACTGTAGAGATCTGTTTTCATACTAGTGTATTGCTAAAATGATTGGTTTCTGTGTTAGCTTGCAGTTGAGTCAATGTTGGTGACAAAAGACTTCCTGACTTATGTGGTGCAAGAATTCTACTGGAAGCATAAATCTGGATATTTTGCCTATGTAGCTGCAAATAAGCTTAAATGGATGTGGTTTTCTCACTGTTAGTCTAGAGCATTTCTCTTCAGACCAGGCTTTTGAGTCCTTGAATAAGTAATGTACAAAATGCTTCTAGGAATAAGAAGTTTTTTTCCTTATTTGCTATATTTGAAAAATAAAGCATCAAGCTAGAAGTATAAATTCTTTGCCTGATCAATTGTGCTGTCAAGAATTATCATGTACATTGTGTAATATAATCTTGTATTAGCTATAACAAGTTAAAAGCTTAATACTGCTTCTATGACATTGGCTTTTGTTTCATGGAAAATTATATGCTTCAGTTAAAACAACAGATATGCCTGCTTTTAGTACCTGGACTGCATTTTATTTTTATTTGCCTATGCTTTGATGTCACACTGCTATTTCAGTATTATATTCTACATAGTTAATTGCTGGCTAAACTTAGCATTTATTACTCAAAATTCCATGCCTCATTCCACCTGACTTGTCTTCCCTCTGTTGCATTAGTTTTTGTTGTCCTGTTATTCATAAATTGTAAGTCATTTTCCTAGAGATATTGTAGCATCTTTTTAATGTGGATGCATGCAAAAACTGATGCAAACTGTTTCTGGTTTTAGGATTCTGAAGGAGACACTCCACTTCATGATGCAATAAGTAAAAAGCGTGATGATATCCTTGCTGTACTCTTAGAAGCTGGAGCAGATGTTACTATCACCAACAACAATGGGTTTAATGCTCTTCACCATGCTGCACTAAGAGGAAACCCTAGGTACAGATTTCTTTTTAAAGATTGTTTTTTATTGTATGTAAAAGGAAAACAAGTACACGTAAAGGTAGAGCTAAGGTATTCTTTCAGAGAATCCTTAAATCTGCATGTAGTTGTATTGCTTAAATGTTGATGTTGCTTAGCTATGCCTCTTTCTAATTCTTGGAAGCCCTTACTAGAATGAAGCTAAAAGTCTGCTCAGTTTAATGCTGTATCCAGATAACTCCAAATTCCTGATAAATTTTCTGTCATGGCTATAAAATTTTGCCAATAAAAGTTTTGATGACTAAGTTAGTAAGATGTTGAAGATGGAATTTTGACATAGGATGAAAGTAGTAAATACTGCTATGTTTCCCTTCTTGAGTATTTGAGTTGATAAAGGTATTTGAGCTTTTTACAAATACTTATTTGTGGATAAGTTTTAAGTAAACCATACAGTTCTAAAGCACTCTCAGGATTGTTGCATTAGATTATATTTGTTAGTATTTGAAACAGTTAATCACATTTTCACAGGCATATATCTAGAAGGAAATTTGTATTTCAGGTTTTATATAGCAGCTCAACTAAAAAAATTCATTTTAAGGCACAAATGGTTTTATACTAGCTGCATTCTATATGTCTACATTTAAATTTCAGTTAAGATAGCTTTTGGAAACAACTGCATAGGTAGAACTTCAAAGAGAAGTTGTGTTGCTGATTCCTTATTACATTGTGGATAAATGGTATTTGTCAAAGCTGTCATGCTAACAAGACTTGAATAATACTTTATCCTCGGCTGGAGGATTTAGTATAGTATTCTTCACAAAAGAAGAAACGTGTCTGTTTCCCTGTTTACTACTAAATTCAGCTTTTAAGTTGAGAGAAGTTGGAGAAATAATGTCTGTAAATTTGTATAAATTTCATCCATTATTAATATATGGGATTAAAATCTAGATTAGTCTCAAAACATAACTATGAAGACGGGTTAAAAAGTAAACATAATTAATTATCTGTGTATATGGAATGGAATAATTTAATGAGTAAAAGTAGTGGTTGGAAGTGTTGATAGGATGAATAAATGTTTACCGTTTTCTACATTACTCATAAATGGTCTTTAAGAGAACATGTCAAGGACCAAATGAAGGGAGCTTACTTTCGGCATTCAGAAGACAGTTCTTCCAAGTCTCATTTGGTAACTTCTTCCTCTAAAGTGAATTCCTCCTTGTTACATAACAGCATTAGCCAGGAGTACTGTTTCTTGTCTCAGTTACCTTGGTGGGGTATTTTTTGTTTGGTTGGTATTTTTTCTGCAGTGCTTTTCCTCAGCTCTTGTGATAGTTGCTTTGTGTGACCATAATCTCGAGATGCAGGGAAATTGTATGGGGGAAAAATGCTTTTCATAGGCATGTGCTGGAGATTTTTCCATGGGTGAATATTTTAGAAGTGGCAGACTATTCATTTGATGGAGGGATCCAAGTTGTAGTTCAGACTGGGTCAGTTTGATGGTTGGTAGAATGTGGAGTTTAGTGAAGTTTTAACCAGAATCCTTCCTCGTTTACGAAAGTTTTCATTGGAAGTATTGGAAAATGTTTCCAGTATTAGTGATTTGAATGCTGTGTGGGTTCCCTCCACACATGTGGTTTCACTTGTATCTAAAACAGATACTTAATATTATTCTTTGGTTGCAGTTCCATGTGAGCACTGCTCAAGCATGTAGAAAAGGAATTTTGTCTCCCATCACAGAAAGAGTAGTTTCATCTAAAATATCTAATGCTCACAGCATTAGATTTTTTACCCATCAGCCTGGGAAGAAATAATTGAAAATGAAACCAAAATAAATCTATTTTGATTTCTCCCTGTGGCCAAAAATTGTCATGGCAGTTTCATTCATCTAGGAGTTTAGTTTTCTATCCCTCAAGACTTCAGTGATACTCTTTTGTTTCATTGCTGATTTTGTAGTTCTGCCACTTGCCTGTTTCTGAATGAAACCAAGGTTTTTGTACTTGCCACTTTGTTTTTCTAATTTGATATAGAACAACGGTTATTACTGATCTGTTAAATACACTAAGTACAAGCTATTTAAAGCACTGTTAAAAATAACCCCCTCATCTTTAGCTTGTTACTGCTGTGGGTCACAGACAGTATGTAATAGGTTCTGCTTGAAACCTTTCTTTTCCTCATCTAAGCTTCTCTGCTCCACCTCAACTGGAGGTTTTGCGGCTTTGGGTTGTGGTGCCTTTTATTAATACAATGCATTAAATTCTCCTATATTCAAATATATAGATATATTATGTAATTTCTATCTTCTTTTATAACACTTAAACACATATTCATGTGTGTATATAGATGTGTATGCATTTGTGTGCATAGCTATAATTCTAAAAATTAAAAACATGCTTTGTATGCAAGAATTAATGAAGTTTGCATACATCTTCCTTGTTGAGGATAATAAAATAAATGCGTGTTATAAGTGCATGAGTACCACAATAAAAGGACGTCGATTTCTGTAGTATTTTTTCTAGATGTCAAATAGGTGTTTGGAACCAAATTCTTTTTCAGAGCAACACCTCTTGTTTCTTGAATTCTGACCTTTATAAATAATAGGAAGATAAAACCTACAAATTGTGCTGAGAAGAACATTCCAAAGTTTTTAATTTTTCATTTGAAAACAAATACATTCTATTTTAAATGTTGGAATATTGGATAAAGATTATAAGAAAGATAGCGATATATGTCAAATAGCTTAGATTTTCTCAGAACTTTATCTTCCATGGCAGTTTGGCTGTGTTTTCCATAAGTCAAGGTACAGTGTGTTTCAGAGAGCATCCTATTCTTAGTAGAATGTCTCCTTTTCATGTTTTGCTTCTCTTTGTACCTTGTGAATTGGTACAGAAAGAACTTCTGGTTTTTGTGCTGATGTATAATGTTGAAATATAGAATGAGTGTTGGTTTATGCTGTAGGTAGCATTAAACGTGTGCATGGGAGATAGAGCTAAAAAGAAACTTTAAATTAAGTATGGGGAAGTTAAACTTTAATACATAGTTTCTTGTTTGTGATTTTTAATGGAGTCAGTCATATTAAAAGTGCATTTATTATGGACTTTTTTCAAAGTACTGTGAGCCTTAAAGTTTGGCAGACTTTGCCTCTTCAGTGTTAATGAGATTTTTTTCAGAGAGAAAAAAGGAGAGTAAAAATTGAAAATACTGTACAGATTGGTTATTTTTGCCATGTTACCATCTCTTGCTTATGTTTGATCTATTCGCATACCTGTGACTTCAGATTTTTGAGCTGAAGACATGACTGTGAAGTGTAGGCGTATTTTATATCCGTTGCCCCAGTTAGGTTTAGATTTGCATTGTGTCTTGTGAAGAGAGCTTTATTCACTCTGCAGCTAGCATCTTAAATAGAGGCTGCTCTTGGAGCTGACCTGACTTCACACACTTGTATGATTAGTTCTTCAGAGCAGTAAATTCTGCTGGACTTTAAATCAAAAAATCAAAGTCCTGGAGTAAGATACAGATTTCAGGTATAGCAAGAAGTATGTCATCTTTATGTTCATAAACTGGCAAGTAGGAGACTGTGGTTTAAAATAAATTGTAATTTTTCCCCATGGTTTTATCATTATTTAGGAGATCTCTGTTTCTAGATTTGCAGATGGTTTGAATGGGTTGGCAGTGAAATTTCTAACTGTAGCAATTTAATTGAGAGGTGGGGTTTCTCACTTCCACGTACTGTTAATGAGTGTCTTCAGGAAGTGTCTCCAGGACTCACGGGATGAGTTGTCATGGAGGTCCTCAGAGAGACAAGTTCTGAGGAAATGAGAGTGGTACAATTATTTTCTAAATCAGTCAAAGTGTTTTTTGCCTTTGTATTTGCAGTTCTGACAGTAAATGTAGGTTAAACTTAGTTGAAGCTGAGTGCAGAGTCTGTTTTTAAAACCTCTTATTAAAGTATTATGTCAGAAAATGCTTTGGAAGAATAATTCTGTTCAAGTTGGTTTGCAGGAAGAATATCATCTCCATGAGCAGACCTGTTATTAGGTGGCAGGTTAGCCTGTAGCTGTTGAGGTCAGAAACAAATTTATTATCATTAAATAGTAAGTAATGTGACCAACAGATACAAAATGGCAAATACAGTTCCTGCCCTATGGAGTTTCTTCCTTTGTACAACATAAAAAAGGGGAGAGGGGTGCCCAGAAAGTAAATCTACCCTGCCAGTACTGTCCATGATTGCTCGGTTTTGAGTTTTTTTGGTCAGTATTGCTAGAAAGGGCACCAGACTTGAGGAAGAATACAGGAGACAATAAATCATTGGAAAATGTTTATTTCACTGCTTACCTATCTTTATAAATGTTGTAAGAGATGATTTTTACTGCGTATGGACAAAATGTTAACACCAGTAGCTATTTATTTACAAATACAAACTTGAGAATTTCCCACAGTCCTAGTTACCTTCCATCTTCAGGCTGCCTAAAAAGTTGAGCTGGACTGAAGAGAAGACTACTTAATTGCTCTGAGCAGGTTTCGTGTCCAGTTTTAACAAAATGAGAAATCCTGTAGTGATCAATGCATAGCTACAGCTGGTTGAAGGGGACCAAATCCATTGAAGAGGTGATTTGGTTCCATTTTACCAGCTTTAGCAAAGCATTGGAGTGCAGGAAGCTTATAATTCAGTAACACATTTTAAAGCACATGAGCAGTGCACAAAGAACACGAGGCTTTTCTTCTATGTTACGCAATTTGTTTCTTGTCAATGCAAATTTTTAACTCTTTCCTAATTTGGAGATGGCACAGTTAAAAGCTGTATACCAGAAAGGCCTGTACAGGTTTGTTCTGTCCTTGAGTATTTCCTTGAGGATCGTGAGATGAGACTCAAATCAAATCAAAGTTACAGTTTAAACTTTTTCCTGTATAGTGTAATCAAATTTTAGACTAGGTTAGAAACTGTAGTCTTAAAGTTTCTATCAGAAATAGAACTCCCTTACTTCTTTATGTTAAGCTTTACTGGGGAAGAATGTTTCATG